TGCAAGCTTGTCTGTCCAGCTGGTTTAGCCAGAGTCTGAAGTGGACCCTGATCTCTTAGCTTAGGGTTTACTTCTGTTAACCTGGGGTTCGTAAGATCAGACATATCTTCAACAGTGCCAAATTCTAGTATGAGTCTGTTAGAAAACGTACTACTATTTTTCTATCTTGCAAGCTTTCTTGAGGTCTGAAGAAGCTGAGCAAATAAGTCGGGATATTCTATAAAAGTTGTGCCATTCTGAATCATGCTTTAAAAATAAGGGAATTTCCACCTGGGTGTGGTGGTGCACACCTGTAATTCCAGCACTCAGCAGGCTGAGGCAGGACTGTGAGTTTGAGGCCAGCCTGAGCTACACGGTGAGACCCTGTCTCAATACCCCTTGCCTCCCAAAAAGGCCCCGATCAACCACAGGGGGAGTCTAGAGAGGTTTGGGGCCCCCCGTGCCTGAGGGCGCTCCTGGCTGCTGGCCAGTACCTGACATGTGGATGCCCTGTGAGTGAGGACTGTGCTCGCCAGGCCTCGTGGAGCAGCAGCGCCGAGGCCAGCCTGCCCAGTTCTTCCCCTGGGTGAGTGGGCGGCCCAGCTGCTCTCTGAGGTTGGCGGGCGGACAGATGGTGTGTGCCGTGGGGGAGCCCGGGGTGTGCCTGGACAGCTGGGGAGCCATGTTCAGGAACCTTTTTCTTTCCTGTGCTGAGTATTGAATCAGGGCCTTTGCACTGAGTGACATGCCCAGCCCTTCATTTTATTTTATTCATCTTGAAACAGGGTTTCCTTAAGTCACTAAGTTGCTTAGGCAGGGCTTGAACTTGCTACTCAGAGGCCTGGGCCGGAGGAGGCAACTTTGGGCGAGATCTAGTGAGACCCTGTCTCAGAATTTAAAAGCGGCTGGGGGTAGCTGGGTGCACTCACCTGTGATCCCAGCACTCTGAGAGGCCGAGGCAAGAGGATCACATGTTTAAGCCCTGCCTGGACAACTTAGCGAGACTCTGCCCCCTGCGCCCCCAAAATCAATAAAAGCCCTGGGGTGTCGCTCAGTGGTAGAGTGCCTGCCTAGCACATGTGAGTGGGTTCAGGCTCCTCTACTGCAAACAATCAAAATCAACACAAACAACAGTTGGTGGTGGGATGTTTGTTTTTATTTGATTTTTATTTATTTCATAGTGCTGGGGAGGGCCCAGGCCTCATGCGTGCTCAGCAAGCCCTGCCTCTGAGCTGTAGGCCCAGGCCCAGGCCCGGTCTTGTTTTGAATTGGATGCTTCATCAGAAGCTTTGTAACCGCCTTTGAGTCTGCAAGGCTGCTGCCAAGAGTGGTTCCTGAGAACTACTGTGGAGCAGAGTTGGGTTTGGGGGCCCTGGTCCCAGGCTGCACTGCAGGTCTCCTTTGGGTTGGGCACCTCCAGTGGCAGCCAGGGCTTGGTCAGCACCACAGCTGCCCAGCTGCAGCCTGGCCTTCCGAGCCCTGGAAGCCGAGCAGCTCTGTGGAGAACCGAGAAGCGATCTGGGGAAGGCAGACTTGCTGTCACAGCTGCTCTCTGTGCCAGGGTGGGGGACTGTGCCAGGCGACGGAGACTCGGGTTTCTCAGCTGGCTCTGCAGAAGGGCAGCTGGGGATTTGGAGCAGCCTGAACCACAGTGGAAGAGGAAACCAGGATGGTGCCATGCAGGCCTGTGATTCCAGCACTTGGGAGGCTGAGGCAGGAAGATGGTGAGTTCAAGGACCCCCTTGTCTCAAAAAAACAAAACAAGACGTAAGCTGTGTGCCCATTTGTTGTTTGGCTGCGGAGCTTCAGGACCAAGTGATGCTCAGAGAGGTCAGGATTTGGGATGCGACTGTTTCAGGCATCACCATGAGGAGGGAGACGTTCTTGTCTCCGGTCACCAAGAGTGAGCAGTCGGGGCCTGTGACCCTTCTGGCTGCCAGAGATGGCATCCTGCCCTCCTCTCGTGCACATCCAAGCCAGTCCTGCCCTGTGGCTCCCTCAGTCACCCGGCAAGCTCCGGGGGCAGGGCCCTGGCTTGTGCTCAGTGCCCGTTGTGCTGATGCCTTCACCGAGGGGACTCGGCACACACTGCTGAGCGCAGTGTGGCAGCAGTGCCCGAGCCTGGGCTGGGGGCTTCCTTCCCCCGCCTGGCAAGGACAGGAGACCTGCAGAGACAGCAAGGAGGGGGAGCCCGAGGCCTGAGCGTCCTCCCATGTTCTGCAGTCTCTTCCCCCATCTGGGTGGCGGGCAGTTTGCTGCAGACGTGACCTCTCCTCTGCACAGCCCCTGGTTCCAGAGATGCTGTCCAGGCTCCCGTCAGCCTATGCTGCTGAGTCCCTGCCGCTGCCACCGCCTCCTCCCTCTCCCCCTCCCCCTCCTCCTTCTTTTCCTCCTCCTTGCTGCTCTCACCCACCCTCCTGCTGCATGCAACAGCCCCTGAGGGCGTGTGTCCTCCAGTCCCCCGGCCTGCTGCACTGTGAGGCCGATCTGGATGCGGTCTGAGAGCGCTGTCCCCGTGGACTCAGCAGCGATCAGTTTGCTCAGAGAATAGTGGCCTGGCATTTGGCCAAGTGCTACTGCTCTGTTAGCAAACTAGACGCTTAGAGAGAGCCCGGAGTTGTATTTAAGTGTAGAGAACTAGACTGGAGTGTGCATCTGTCAGCAGTTGTGAACTTGACTAAGCTTTTAGGATCTGTGCACATTAAGGCACAAAGGTGAGTGTGAACACATTTTATTTCAGATAGAGACTAGAAATATAAAATTTTGGAAATCCTGGAGCCTTTGAAAAGCACTGGTTTTCCAAGGATATTTGGTGGGGAACAGGAAAAACCAAGATGTGTACCAATAGGAGAAATTGCATAAATTTAAAATCCTTTATGATCTCATATTTATTTATTTGGATTCTGGGGATTGAATACAGAATCTCTGTTTTATTTCTGAGCTGCACCCCTAGTCCTGAAATATTTCTTAATTCAAAAACTTATTTGCAAATTTTAACTTTTAAAAGTTTTACTGCAGACAGACTGGTAAGCTAGAGAACTTTCAGGAGTCTTATTTATGTTTCTGAGAAGTGGACAAAAACTTAACACACAGGAAAAATCATCTGTTAAAGCTGTTAGCGCTGTTATGTTCATCACAACACGAAGCAGACGGAAGAAGGATTCCCGTCTATAAAGGAACTGAGGGGTGGTGCGTGTCTGTGTATTAAAAGGCACTGAAGAGCGCCGTCTTGCTCCTGCCTGCCTTGCTGCTCCTGGCCCAGAGCTGCTCAGGTTGAGGACTCCTCAGGTTGAGGACGAGGCCAGTGGCTGTGAGTTGTTCTCCCAGCCTCTGGTTCACCTGTCAGCGTCTCCTCTTGCGCTCCAGGCCCGGGCCATCTGTGTCCTTGGCGGGAGAGCCGGTGGCATCTGTCTCCCAGCCCCCCTTGGTGTAGGCAGTTTGAGGACAAGGAGCCCAACCAGATGCACAGAGGTCAGTGCAGAGATCTTCACAGCAAGCCGCTGGCCAGCTCTCGGTCTGATAGCCTGCTGCTTCCGTTCTTTCCCTTTTTCCTGTCTGTCATGCTGGGGATGGAGCCCGGCCCTCGTGTCTGCTAGGCAGGCTCCATAGCACTGAGCCACACCCCAGCCCTGCACTTCAGTTTTTTAAAAGAACGAGCACTCATTTTTTTTCTTTCTTTTTTTCTTTCTTTCTTAGGCAGACTCTCCAGGACAGCTTTGAACTTGCTAGGTATCTCAGGCTGGCCTTGAGCTCACAATCCTCCTGCCTCAGCCCCCCCAGTGCTGGGATTACAGGCACATGCTCTCTTTGCACCTGGCTCCAAATAACTCTTAAGGTGTATGAAGCTTGCTGTGTGGCCCCACCCACCCTGATCCCGGTCCCTTTCCTTATTCCTCAAGATAATTGTTACCATGAGTTTGCTGTTTGTCTCCTTTTTTGGAATTATTTTGGCTACATACATATACAGCCATAAAATAGCATTATTTTGCATGCTTTGGAACCTGATTTAACTGGTTTTAGCACTCGCATTTCTGTTTGCAGTTTTACTTTAATGTATTTTTGGAGAGTTCAGCCATTTCTATTCATTTTTACTATCATATGGTATTCCACCATATAAATTCATTTTACTTTGAAAGTTTAGGTTGCTTTCTAAGTTTTTGCAGTTATAAAACAGGAGCTAGGTGTGGTGGCACATGCCTGTAATCTCAGCACTCTGGACACTGAGGCGGGAAGATTGCTACAAGTTTGAGGCCAGCCTAGGCCACATAGCAAGACCTTGTTCTTGTCCCCCCCAAAAAAGAGAGGAAAGAAGAGAGGAAGGAGGGACGGAAGGAAGGAGGTGGCATTTGTGTGTTTGTTTGCAAGTGTTTCTCTAGGGAGCTTACCTAGAAGAAAAATGGTGAGGTCAGAGGTGTGCCATTCGTTCATTCATGAATGGTACGTGTGTTTATGCCAGATTTCTCTGAAGTCCTTTTACTAACCTGAACTCCACCAGTACAGTGTGAAAGGCCCCACTTTTCTGCAGTCCTCTAGTCTGAACTGTGTTCCTTGTCTGTTTTCCTGACATCGGAGTTGGTTGTTGGAGTAGCCCATTGTCAAGTGCATGTCCTGTGAGTGGTCTGTAGCCCGGGACTTTGTCTCCTTGGATATTGATAGACCCAGTTAAGAAGTAGAGGGCCAGGATTTAGCTCAGTGGTTTCGCCGCCTGCTTTGCAAGCGCAAGGTCCCGAGTTCAATCCTCAGTACCAAAAAAAAAAAGTAGTAGACATTTTGTGTGTTCTTTCAGAGAAGCGTCCTTGATGTTTTAGCCCTCACACCTCTGGAGAGTTCTGCAACGTGTTAGCCAGCTGCCCGCCCTGGGGTTTGTGTGCAGGCTGTGGGGCTGAGGGGTCCTGTCGCCCAGCCACATGGCACTCGCCATGCCATGCTGGTGTCCCACCTTGTACCAGGCCGCACCCTTTGGCGGACTTCACGCACACACCCGTTGCCCGCATCACTGACCTTCCTTTCTCTCCCTGCAGGGTGTAGCAGAGTAAGATGGACGGTAGCTTTGATTGTGATTGTGGTGAGCTGGAGCCACCTGATCACTGACAGAGGCCACCTGCTGCCACCAACAGCCAGGGCTTCCTGTCAAGACAGCGACCCGGGAAGGACGAACCTGCCGGACAGCGCTTCCGGCCCCCCTAACATGCTGCTCAGGACCAGTCCAACACTGAATGTACCTGCACTGTGAGGAGATGCCTCGACGCCGGTCGCGTGCATATTTATTCACACTTCTGTTAAATGTTCAGTCATTTAGCACGGTAGATCTGAGTGCATAGTATGTCATTCATTCCGTTTGCGTTTCTTGAGTGTTTTCTTTAAATGTCTGCAGAGTTGCTGCCCCTTTCTTGAACTCTGATTACTGCAATCTCTTTCAATCCTCAACATGAGTAGGGCTGTGTGAGCTTTCAATGCACAGGGGACTTGGTGGGCCTGGTTGGCACAGGCGATGAATGTCAGGAAACCATCATGCTGGGCAGCATGATCTCTCTCCTCCCCCTTTGAGAGCTCTTTCCTTTTGATGCCAGTTTTCTCCCCTGTTTACACAAGTTTACTAGTTGGAAAGGAAAAAGCAATAGTGAGGGTTTCACAATGGCAGAGAAATTCGAAAGTCTCATGAACATTCATGGCTTTGATCTGGGCTCTCGGTACATGGACTTAAAACCATTGGGCTGCGGAGGCAATGGCTTGGTCTTTTCTGCTGTAGACAATGACTGTGACAAAAGAGTGGCCATCAAGAAAATTGTCCTCACTGATCCCCAGAGCGTCAAACACGCTCTCCGGGAAATCAAGATCATCCGACGGCTGGACCACGATAACATAGTGAAGGTGTTCGAGATCCTGGGCCCAAGCGGCAGCCGGCTGGCCGATGACGTGGGCTCGCTGACGGAGCTGAGCAGCGTGTACATTGTGCAGGAGTACATGGAGACGGACCTGGCCAGCGTGCTGGAGCAGGGCCCCCTGCTGGAGGAGCACGCCCGGCTGTTCATGTACCAGCTGCTGCGTGGCCTCAAGTACATCCACTCGGCCAACGTGCTGCACAGGGACCTCAAGCCGGCCAACCTCTTCATCAACACGGAGGACCTGGTGCTGAAGATCGGGGACTTCGGGCTCGCCCGGATCATGGACCCGCATTACTCCCACAAGGTAGGTGCCCTTCGGCTGGGAGACACTGGCCCTCTCCCTGGTTCCTGCCTCCCTGGGCTGAGGATGCAGGGGCAGAGCTGGCTTCCCGCACGTCCGGGAAGGGCAGGCTTGTGTCAGAGCAAATCAGGTGTGGGAGGCTACGGGTAGTTTCTAGGACTCCCGCTCTCGTTACTTCCAAGTGGAATATACTTTTACCCACATGGGCAGAATTGTGGTCCTACTGAAGGTAAGAGGGTACTATTTGAACCTGCAGCTCTCCCTGTGTCCTTCTGACAAGGTTATTCAGTACTATAGCTAGGCCTTGTTCAAACAAAGCGACTTGAGTTTGGGACATAAATTGCCATAAGTCATTACCTGTTAAGTACTGTGTAGCCCAGAGATCCCTAGCTCCTCCTCCCCTGATGGCAACTCGCTTTCAGGTGAGAATTAATGTGTTTTCAGGCCCGGGATTTAGCTCAGAGGCACTGTACCCACCTTGCAAGTGCAAGGTCCTGAGTTCTGTCCCTGGTACAAAAAAGAAAAGAATTAAAGTCTTTTCCAAGCAACACCCTGGTCAGCTGAAGTCTGACGTAGAGCTGGGAGCCCTGCCTGCTTAGCCTTCCGTAGCACACCTCAAAAACAAGTCGTCTTAAGGGTTTTCCCACAGTAGGGACACCTGTGTTTTTTAGAAAAACAGTCGAGTACTGAACTGAGGTGGAGGCCCGTGGCCCATTCCCGGCAGCAGTGAAGTGCCGTGGAGGAACACCAAGAGGAGCCACACTGTCACACTGTCTGACAAGACTCCACTCCTACCTCAGCTGGCTGTGTTGCTCCAGGCCCACGACCTCCCGCAGACCTGTGCTGTGCAGCAGCCCGGTCTTTCGGCGTTGTGCAGAGGGGGAATAAGGCGGCACGCGTGTTTTTGTCACATGCCCTGTAAATATAGAGCAGTAAGAGAGATGGAGCAGGAATGGCAGGTCCCCGCAAGTGGCTGTAATGCCTTGCACTGTGGCTGGAAGGATGCATACCTGCCTCTTTGTCTCATCAAGACAGGGAGCACAAGTCACTCCTCCCTGCACTGTCCCATCCAGTGAGTGGCCTGCAGGGAACACTGGATTCTTTTCATTTCTGTATTATTTCTGTATTTATTTATCCAGGCTCTCACTACGTAGCCCAAGGTGGCCTCCAACTCACAGTGATCCTCCTGCCTCAGCCTCCTGAGTGCTGAGATCACAGGCGTGTGCCACCATACACTGGATTCTTACGCGAATCCCGGGGGGAATGTACCTCAGTTCAACAGCATCGGAGCCTTCAAAGTGGGCTTAGAATCACCAGTATTGTTTCAGGATTTCATAATTACTGTGTTCTGGTCTTGGTTCTTCAGCTAAAGTAAACAAAAGAATGGAAGTCCGTGTTTTGCTTCTCTCTAGGGCCATCTTTCTGAAGGACTGGTCACTAAATGGTACAGATCTCCACGTCTCTTGCTGTCCCCCAATAACTACACGAAAGCCATTGACATGTGGGCTGCGGGCTGCATCTTTGCGGAAATGCTGACTGGGAAAACCCTCTTTGCAGGTTCGTGTCATTTAGGAAACATTGTCCCAGAGGGAAATAACTGTGCATTTGTTTAGAAACAAGATTTATATATATAAGATTTAAAATAGTTTATTGTAGCCTAAACAATGAACAGAGAACAGAGAAGATATACTCTTACTATTTACAAATTCAGCAAGCTTAGGCATGTATCACTAGCCTGCTGGTGTGAACAGAAGCAGAGCCGACTTCCTGCACAGCCTCGGTTTGGTTCCCGGATCCACGGTCCACACTGGGTGTCTGTGTGTTGAGCGACACCTATGCTGCAGTTGTCATTTCCTGTTAGGGTTTTTCAGTTGTTGGGAATCCAGGGAGTTTCTCTGGGTCCTTTTCTTCACAAAGCTGCAGGCTGAGAGGCCAGGCCAGTGGTAGCCAGAAGTGAGGAGGAAGTCAGAGTTCCCAGTGAGCAAGGAGAGGAGGGAGAAGCGTTCCCCACAGAGGTGAAGCAGCCGTCTGGGGCAGGTGTGATGAAAGCTCAGCATCGACCCGTGATCAGGATGGCTGGGGACCCCTTCCTGTGCAGCCAGAACTCTCGGACAGTTCCTTAGAAGGTAGGCAGAGGGTCCATGCTGGAAAAGCAGGGTCTGAGGCTGGTGTGGAGGTGGGGACCTGGCTTCACCTTCTCTGTGCACATCCCTCCATGGCCAGTCCTGCCACTCCCAGGGCTAAGCAGAAGGAAGGTTAATAGAGACTGGGGCAGAGCCGGGCATGGTGGTGCGTGGCTGAGGCAGGAGGATCACCACTAGTTCAAGGCCAGCCTGGGCTGCATAGTGAGACCCTGTCTCAAAAAAAAAAAAAAAAAAAAAGCCAAAAAAAACAAACTAGGGCAGAGGCAGCTTTTATGGGGGCAAAGGTTGCATGCACCATGCCCTGTGTGTACCTTTGATGCTGCTGCTTGTTGCCACCCAGCTCAGATACCAGTGTCTGCTTCTTTATAATTTCGCTGTATATGTGAAATTTAGAGAAAAATGCCAGTCAAGAAACTTAAAAGTGATCAGTGGATTCGGTTTTTTTTAGGAACCATGCTGTGATTGGAGGTTACATTTCTGATGCTCATGCACCTTTCACCACATATAAAATAACTGCTGTGTTTTTTGTTGCTGTGGCAGGTTTCCCCAGATTTAGTGGCTTAAGCAGCAAACGCCTGTTAACCTCCCTGTCCGTGGGTGGAGCATGGTGGGGCTTCGTGGGTGCTTCTGGCCCAGGCTTCCTCGGCAGAGGCGTTGGTCCTGGCACAGCCAGCCTAGGGCTTCCTGGGTGGGACTCACTGCAGGGGCCTTACTCAGGCAGCCAGCACCAAGGCACCTGGGTCTCTACTGAGCGTTTTTCCTTGTCCATTTTGCTTTTAATATCATGTCTGAAAAACCATTTTCTAATCCATGGTCACAGATGTTTATTCCTAGAAGTTTCAGTGTCATCTTTGTAGGTTTAGGTATCTGATCCATTTTGAGTGAAGTTCATGTGTGGTGAGGTAGGGTGGAACCTCAGTGTTTGCAGGTGGATATCCAGTTGTCCCACAGCATTTGTTCAGTTTTTTTCTCCAGTGAATTAGTCAGATGTCTTGTTAAAGATAATTGATCGTAAATGCAGAGTATCTTCTTGTGACCCCATCTCTGAAGGTTGCAGTCACATCCTCAGAGGATGTCATAGAGTTCAGGGGCTGTTAGGAACCTGCGCAGTAATGAATCAGGAGGACAAAGGAACCCAGTCTACACCATGAATCGCTGGGTCTGGCTCTGGGACAGAGAGGGGCAGTGGACACTGCTGTGACTGCTAGAGCGCGGACACTAAAGGTGTCAGCAGTGAAGAGACCTGGCCTCGTGTGAGGGGCTCGCGCTGCTGCGATGGAAGCTTGCACCGCCCTCCCCTTGCCTGTGAGGGAGGGCTCATGCTTCTCAGCTGTAAGCTTGCGAGACCAGAGCGGCTGAAAGCAGTCTCGGTCTCCATGCCCTCGCTGAGGTCTGAAGCTTCCAGCCTCACTTCTGGCACCTCTCCTCTGTGTGTGCCAGTCACAGCCCTGTCAGTGCTCCGTCCCCAGCCTCCAGGCAGTCAGCTTTCCTGTGCCCTGCTCCAGGCCTTTGGCCCAGCGCTCTTCGCTTGCCTTTCTCCTTGTCCTTCTCCAGGGCCATGTTTATCACTGTTCAGACCTCATGAGGGCCATGCGGACACTGTGACCCCCCCTCTGGGCACGCCCCTCAGTGGCACCCTCCCTGGGGACAGTGTGGTCGCTGTGCCTCCCCGCTGTTCTCGTGAGCTCCTCACGGTGGATTCTGTCTTCTGCCCAGGCTGGTCCCCGCCTTGTGGCGCCATCCAAACCTGGGTCACAGTTGGTCTTCCTGTTCTTCAAGGTGCGCCTTCTCATGTGTCTTTCTGGGCACCCTCTCTCCAGCCTTCCTTCCCCGTCCACCTCTTTTTTGGGCACCTCCGCCGGCCCTGCATCTCTCCTCCCAGTTGCCCTGGCCCCCGCATGTCTGCTGCCCCTGGGCTGCTTCCCACCCTGGGTCGGGTGCAGGCCAAGCTGCCCGGCTCATCCGCCTCAGCCACGCTGCGCTCTCTGCCTGTTTCTCACACACAGGAAGCCACTCTTCTCCTCCTCCCTGTGAGTGGGAGCTCTCCCTGAGGTGCTGCGTGGGCATCCACGGTGCCTTATCCCCGGCCCCCTTTGCTGACTGTGCTTCTTCCAGGTGGCTGCCACCCCCACCCTGAGTACTTCACGTCTGTCCCCAGTCTTGTCCACCAGGTCCGAGCCCGAGGAGGCAGGGGCTCGTCTGCTTTGCATCAGCTGCACCCCTAGGCGCCTGCTCAGTGCAGGGATGTTGGGTCTACTTCTAGAAATTAGCCAACAGGCTATGAGAAATCTTAAACTACACATTTAGCTGAAAGTCTCCACTTCCAGTGCCCTGAGTTGGAAGGGCCAGCTGGGCCTGACACATGACCGTGGCAACACTGGTGTGCAAATCTGGCCCTGCTGTCTGCTGCTAGGGACGAGCTGCAGTCCTGCTCCAGCCTCGCTCCCCTTCTCTCCTGCGGCTTTGGTGGCTTTGTACCAGGTCAGCTTCAGGAGCGGCTCCTGGCAGAGCAGAGCAGTCTGGCAGGCGCAGGGAGCAGAGCGGAGTCCACCTGCTTTCAGACCAGAGCTGGTGCTCTTGCTGAGCCCTCTGACTCTGCACCTCCCAGGTGCACACGAGCTGGAGCAGATGCAGCTGATCCTGGAGTCCATCCCTGTCGTGCACGAGGAGGACCGGCAGGAGCTGCTGAGTGTCATCCCTGTCTACATCAGGAGTGACATGACCGAGCCGCACCGGCCCCTGACGCAGCTGCTGCCGGAGATTGGCCGAGAAGGTACCGCCACTCCCTACAGGGATGCCTCTGTGTGCACACACTCGTGTGTGTGTGTGTGTGGGGGGGTGCGTGCGTGTTTGTGCTCTGCACAGGGTCTGTCATAGGTCACACTTGCTCCCTCGAAGGCGAAGTCTGCACAGCTCTAAAGTGGCCACACCCTGCCTCCTGGTCCCTCCCTGCCTCACAGATGCACCTTTGTCAGGGCCCTGCTAGGGTGGGGGCGGGGTGAGTGAGGTGGGGTGGGGGCTGCTGGAGTGTGAGACTGCAGGGACTGTGCATGTAGAGTGGGCTCGGGGGACCTCGGAAGCAGCTCGTCCTGTCTCAGCTGGGGTGATCAAGTAAGACGCCAGTTTCTCACTTTCCTAAGTTACCTGTAGTAGAGAGGAAGTGCTAGGAAGAATGTTTCTGTGCTAGTGGGAGGCAAGTTAAGCATACGGTAAGGGCTGGGGGTGGCAGGGCAGACTGTTAGCCTGCGTGCATGCGCACTGGCTTTGGGCTTGTGCAGTGTGTGCGCCCAGTTTGTGCATGTGTCTACAGATTGAAGTGTTCTTGTGTAACCCTACGAAGTGCCAGTGTGGTGCACACCTGTCATCCCCGCGCTCCGGGAGGTTGGCTTAGGAGGCTTGGCTTTGAGCCCAGCCTGGTGACTGACTCAGCTGGGCCCTGCCTCAAAAGATAGATGAGGGCTGGGGATGCAGCTCGAGTGAGGACCCTGGGTCCCCTCCCAGTGCTGCAGGAGGAGAAAGGGAGCTTGGGTTAACCTGGCCGTCTTATGCACCCATCAATCATATTCCCACCCAGATTGTTCTTTCTTTCTTTATTTATTTTGGTACCGGGGCTCGAACTTGGGACCTTGTGCTTTCGAGGCAGGCCGCAGCACCACTGAGCTACATCCCCGGCCCCAGTCTTTCTTTTTTGAGACAGGGTCTCACTGTGTAGTCCAGGCTGGCCTTGAGCCCACCGTAATTCTCCTGCCTCAGCCTCCGGAGTGCTAGGACTATAGGTGTGCACCACCATGCCTGGCTCTGTACTCTGATTACTGTATTTGGTTCAGGTTAGTATTTACCAAAGTGTGTAAAGTAGCCAGGGTTTTTAAAATAGGCAGTCTCTATCTTTTCCTCAGGTGCACTTGGGACTTTGCCGTTATTTGACCTTTTTTGACTGACAACACCAGCTTCATGTGGTTAACTTAATATATCCCTTTGCTTGATCATTGTAACTGGCCAAGATGAGATTGGAGTACATTTCAAGTCTTTGTGTTGATAGAAGAAATGTCTTTTTAATCCGTTGGTTAGGAAAGTTACCACTATTTTTTTTTTTTTTTTACTGCTATTCTTTTGACGAAAATGGGCTCTGTCTCGGTAAGCTGGCCTGCTCTCCAGGTGGCATGCTGGGCTGCCTGGCCTAGGGAGTAGGAGGTGGTGGTGGGAGCCTTGGGGACAGTGCCCTGCAGAGGGACCGTCTTCCCTCGAGCCTGCCTCTGTCTTGCAGCGCTGGACTTCCTGGAGCAGATCCTGACCTTCAGCCCCATGGACCGGCTGACGGCGGAGGAGGCCCTGTCCCACCCGTACATGAGCATGTACGCCTTCCCCACCGATGAGCCCATCTCCAGTCACCCATTCCACATCGAGGACGAAGTTGACGACATTCTGCTCATGGACGAGACACACAGCCACATTTACAACTGGGAGAGGTAAAGGAGCCAGAGTAGAAACAAGTGTGTTGCATTTCAGTGAATGGTGTGGTGAGCTTGGTGTTTGAACTGTCTGGGGGGCCAGTGGGTCTCTGCTGGACACACTGCTGTCCCTGAACCGCCCTCAGGCAACTTAAACATGTAAGTAGTCCCGCCTAGGAAGTAGTAATGGGCGAGTCCCATGCTGCTTTGAAAACAGTCATGAGGGCATGCCAATAACATAATAAGGTTCTTTAAATGTGAGGGTTGGAAGGTTAGAAATCTGAGTTGCGTGTGTGCGCGCGCACGTGTATGGGCATTGAACCCAGTGAGGGCTGAACTTTGTCCCCAGGCTTTTTTTTTTTTGGTACCAGGGATTGAACTCAGGACCTTGCACTTTCAAGCCAGTTGCCGGAACCACTGAGCTAAATCCCCGGCTCTCCCAGGCTTTATTTGAATTTTTAAATTTTAAAAAATGTTTATTTTTAGACATATCTCATTAAGTTGTCCAGGCTGGCCACAAACTTGGGATCCTGCTGCCGCGGCCTGAAGTCTGAACATTTTAAACTGTTGGCTCGGAGAATGTCCCGCTTGAGGGTGCTGCCCCACAGTGGTTAGCTTTTACTTCCGCCTGGACCTGTGCTGGCTGCACCTTGCTCTCACCCGCCCTGTCTCGACAGCGGCTCTGGAGTTTGCTGCACTGGTTAGATCAGAATACCAGTGCTTTTTATTGCTGGCAGGTTACAGTTGGATTTTTCCCTAGTGGCAACAGTGATTTCAGGTTACTTATTTTGGGTGCAGTAGGAACTTGTCTGGTCTGAACAGCGACAGGGAGCATGTGATGTGAGAGGGAAGGACTCGCTTCCTTCAGCCTCCTCAGGGTTCTGGCTTTCTGGGGGAAGTTGTTGGTTTTTTTGTTAGGGGGCAGGGTTTGGGTACTGGGGATTGAACTTGGGACCTTGCGCTTATGAGGCAGGCAGCAGCACCACTGAACTAAATCCCTGGCCCTGGAAGTTGAGGCATAAAATTCTGCTGCAGAGCCAGGGCTTCACCTATAAGGATGAACCACTGTTAGTCAGAGGCCTCAGGAAGCCAGGATTGGTGGTCACTAACGAGTTTCTCAAATTTTGTATATTCTTATGTTTAAAAAGAAAAGATTGTCAATTTAAGAAGCTTTTCCTTTCCCCTCCGAACATGCTGGGCTGTTCGTGCTCACACGCACCTGCTGGCCACCTCTTCTTGCGCTCGCCCCTTTGCATCTGTGCCTTTTCTGCAGACCTGTTTCCCACCACCCACCCCGCCCTCCTGCCTGGGGGCGGCGCCTGCTCCGCCTGTTAGCAGCAGAGTGGGGATCCCCAGGGTGCCTGGTGAACATGAGCCCTGCTTCTGTGGGGTCCACCGCTGCAGGTGAGGGTCCGGATGAAAGGTAGCCGGAGAAGAGTGCTGTGAGTGGGAAAGGCAGTCGGTGGTATTTGAGAAGGAAGGACTCGGGGCTCCTCATGCCAGCAGGTCCTCCGCCCACAGTTACCCTGTACTGCTGCCGTGTGCATTGCGCACGTGGGGACGGAACTCCCTGCCTGTTAGGGCGAGCCCAGGCGGGGACACCCAGGCTTCCTCCTGTCCTCTGTAGAGTGGCACAGTGTGACACAGAAAGGCCCCCAGGGCACTGGAAAGAAACTGTGCCCAAGGAGTGATGCCGCTGTCCTCCCTTCCCAGGTACCATGATTGTCAGTTTTCGGAGCATGATTGGCCCATACACAACAACTTCGATATTGACGAGGTGCAGCTTGACCCCAGAGCCCTGTCTGACATCACTGATGAGGAAGAAGGACAGGTGGATCCTCGGAAGTACTTGGACGGAGACCGAGAGAAGTACCTGGAAGACCCTGCTTTTGATGCCAGTTACTCTGCCGAGCCTTGCTGGCAGTCCCCGGATCACCACGAGAACAAGTACTGTGAGCTGGAGTGCGGCCACACCTGTAACTACAAAGCACGGTCAGCGTCGTACTTAGATAGCTTGGTTTGGAGGGAGAGTGAGGTGAACCATTACTATGAGCCCAAACTTATCATAGATCTTTCCAACTGGAAGGAGCAGAGCAGAGAGAAACCCGATAAGAAGGGCAAGTCCAAGTGCGAGAGGAACGGGTTAGTGAAGGCCCAGATAGCGCTCGAGGAGGCGTCCCAGCAGCGGGCCGAGAAGGAGCGGGAAAAGAATCAGGGCTTTGATTTTGATTCCTTCATTGCGGGAACTATTCAGCTCAGTTCACAGCACGAGCCCACTGATGTTGTGGACAAACTGAACGACTTGAATAGTTCCGTGTCCCAGCTAGAGCTGAAGGGCCTGATCCCCAAGTCAGTGAGCCGGGAGAAGCAGGAGAAGGGCATGGCCAACCTGGCCCAGCTGGAGGCGCTGTACCAGTCGTCCTGGGACAGCCAGTTCGGGGGTGGGGGGGAGGAGCGTTTCCTCATCGACCAGTTTTGCTGCGAGGTCAGGAAGGACGAGCAGGTGGAGAAGGAGCACACGTACACCAGTTACTTGGACAGGTTCTTCAGCAGGAGGGAGGAGGCCGAGCTGTTGGAAGCTGAGCCAGGTGAGGACAGGCCTCGGGTGGAGAGGGGTGGTGGGGAGGGCTTTCTGAACCACAGCGGGGAGCTGCTGCTGAACAAGCAGCTCGAGTGCATGGGCCTCCCGCAGCTGCACAGCCCCGTGGGGTCCCCCCGGAAGTCCGTGCCGGCCGTGAAGGCGTCCCCACGTGTGCCCCCTCGGACCTACAGCAGCATCCTGAGACATCTGAACTAAACACTCAGCAGACGTTTCTGTGTTCTTCATGAAATACGTCTTGTCTTTTTTATTCCTAGTGTTTAAGTCATTTTTTTACTTGAATCAGATGGTGTCCTTTAGTAAGGATTTTATCAGTTCTCGGTTTTAAAAATCCAGACTTTTTTTTCTACATGTGAGATTGTTTTCATTTTACCTGGCATGTCGTTTGCACACAAAAAAGAATCGAGCAAATAATGCAATGCAGGAAGAGACAAAAGAAATGCACTAAGACCAGTAAACACATTCTCTCCTAGAACAGTGATCTGTTTTACAAGAAACAAACTCTTGCCTTGAAACTTACACAGTGAGACTGTACAGAACTGCATGGAAATATCTATTTTTTTCCTAAAACCTTTTTCATTCATTAGTATTTTCAAGTTTTTCATACTGTACACATTTCTTAAAACACATGATACCAGCAGCAACTGAAAATGAATGCCGGAATTGGTACACATGTGTTATCTACCTCAAGGTAACTGACGTATGTGGCGAACCCCACGGCCCATAGTGCTCCACGGTGTGACCTGTGCTCAGCCACGCCCACGGTAGGGATTGTGTGTCCTCACATTGTCATCTGTACACATCCTGGTGTTCATTCCTTAGGGTGAAGTTTCGATACATCACATCTTATTTATTTTAGCAAAGCAGTATATTTTCTGTATTTAATGATAAAAGTAACTTAGTTTTAAAAAATTTATTTGCAACTACACTTTATGCATTCGGCACTATGGTTTGTCGCCTCCCTAGCTGAAGTCCCATCAGCGTTGCCCAAGGCTGTCTCCACGTACTGAAGTGTTCGTTTGAAATAAAGTACTCACTGTGTATAGGAATTTGTATTTTGGAGGTGCTTGATCTATCTACAAAGAAAAATTAGGAATTACTTTATTATAAAATGCTCCTAGAAGTCTTTATTGTGTTTATTTTTTAAAAAGCTGTAATGTTAGACTTGTGTGCATGGAAGTAGTTAAGGTACATCATTATTGTAGTTTAACAGTGTACATGGTAAGACACTTTCTGTTCTCACTGTATGTTTTTACCGAATGATCTGCTCCTGTCCCAGGCAAGCATGAATAAAGTTAGGTTCAGCGTAGCATGTGGCATTGCAGTCTCTTAGCATTTGTTTCATCTGTTTTATTTTCCTGAATACTGTCTGTATCCTTGGCTAAAATAAAACCTGCTCAGCACACATGGCTCCTGTCTTGCTCTTCAGGTCAAGCACAACCCGCTAGAAGGAGAGGTGGTTATGAGGGTCTTTGAGCGGCGGGTGTGAACTGTTAGTCTAAAGGGCTGAGAAGAAAAAGGTTCTCAGAAGGGCTGACATATCACAGCTGCTACAGAAACTGGACACGGAGTCGGACGCAGCCTTCTGGGTGGAGACCCCTTCTGCCTAAAGCCTCGGCCTGGGCTTCTCCCGCTCAGCCCCACCCCTCCCCTGCCCTCCCCTCCCCGGCTGCAGCTTTCAGGAAGTGCAAATTGCACGCACGTCCACACCGTCCTGAGCTGACTTTAAACAAATTCGGGTAACCCTAAGCCAGCGGCTCTGCGCTACAGGAATGAATCGATTCATGGGGACGGCAGGGGGAGATTGGGGTAACCGGGCTGCTGTGGTTGGAACCATGTGGACTCTGGAGGGAGCCCTGAAGTGCCGCAGGACCCGCAGGCCAGCCCCGAACGTGGCAGGGGCAGCTCCGCGTCGTTTGTCTCTGGCTTCGACCCCACTCGCGGTGCCGCCGCACCCTCGCTGCCGTCCAGGGAGTCAGCCTCGCGCCTTCTGTTCATCTTGACTTAGTCCCTCGGTAGGAGACGGGCAGTCAGACTGTTGCTGCAGGTGACGCCCGCTGGGAGCCGGATGGCGATGTCAGTTTCCAGCAAGAGCTGTCATTTCTCCCCCCCCCCGCCCCCCAGCAATCCCAGTCTTATTTAGAGTGAAAGATGACACTTTTTTTGTTTTGTACTGGGCATCGAACTTGGGTCCTTGCGCTTACGAGGCAGGCGGCCGAACCACTGAGGTAAATCCCGGGCCCTGACACTTTTTTTTTTTTTTGGTACCGGGGATCGAACTCGGGTCCTTGCACTTGCGCACCAGGCGGCGAAACCACTGAGCTAAATCCCCGGCTCCTAGATGACACACTTTTAAAAGAAAGTATCTACAGTTCTGGAAAGGTCACCTGAGATTAAAATATGAGAGGTTCAGGGGCGAGGGCCACGACTTTATGCCAACAGCACGGTGTGCATTTAATCTCTGAAAAGCTCACTCCTGCCTCAGCCTCCCGAGTGCCGGGATGACAGGCGTGTGCCACTCACTGTGCGTGTCCCGTCAGTGGTTCCGGGGAACGTGGAAGAGTATGTCACGCAGGGCACACAGCCGGGAGCAGCGTGCTGAGTGGGACCCTCCAGTCCATGCAGTGCCCCCTTGCTGCCCAGGCAGGCCTGGCTCGGGCCGCCAGTCGTGAGAGCCGCCCGCCTCGCATTGCCGGGTTCGCGTGGCGCGCATCAGGCTGGCAGGACCCCACCCCCACCCCGGCAGTCAAGCCTGCCCTCCCTCCGCAGCCCGAGCCCAGGCCTGAGCCAGTCACAGCCAAGCTCCGCGAATGACGCTCGCTCACGTGACAGCAGCCCGGGACGCACGGGGGCGCCAGGGCACAGCGCAGGGGCGGCGCTCTCGCCCTTGTGAGCGCGGGGCACCGTGGGAAGTGCAGGAGCAGAAGAGGCCTCACCCCGTGACCTCGCAGCCATGGTAACAGCGCCGCGCACGGCCGCCGCCGGTGAGGTGAGGCTGGAGCGAGCCGGTGCCAGCCTCGCGGGAGAGCGCCGACCTCTGCTGAGCGCGGTCTCGAAGTGCTCCAGGGTTGCTTCCTCTGGGCATCCGGTAGGGAGCTCCTGGTTCTCAGTCTTTTTAGAACTTGCTGGAGGTCCGTGACTTCCGGGGAGCGACGGGACTCTCCAGAACCCTCGAGCTCCAGGTTGCAGGGCCAAGGAGCTAGCGGGTCTCAGGAAATCCAAGTCGCTCTGGCCGGCTTATGGTCTTTGATTGCCTGAGGCGTGGGCGCAGCTCGGGGTGGCAGTCACTGTGCTCCTGAGTCAGTGCTGCTGGTTCCTGTCCCCGGCTGGGGTGACTGCACCTGCCAAGACCTCCGCGGTGGCCGTGACCCAGTTAGGGCAGCGCCATGCGGCTCGTTTCCTGGTCGTCCTGTCCAAGGAGCCGGCCCGGGTTATTCCTCCCGTCCAGGTTCCTTGGCAACGAACCCACCTGTGCTGCCCTTGAAAAAGAGGCCGTTTTCAGGGTTCAGGGCGACTCCCGGGGCTCGCGGACTGGGTGTCAGCAGGCACTGGGTCCAGGCTGGGGGCAGGATGGGCCCCGCTGCCCAGGGAAGACTGCTACACCCCAGCCCACAGACGTCTGCCTGTCTTTCCACCCCACCCTGTTCCAAGTTCCTCCGAGGAAGTGACCTCAGCCCACCTTCTGCCAGTGCCTGGGGCCGGGTGGCACACGGGGTGGAGCAGCCTCTTCCACTCTCTCCATCTCTGTCTCTCTTTTGTCCTGGGGACTGAACCCAAGGCCTTCGCCCTGAACTACATCCCCAGCCCTTTTTAATGTTGTTTTGTGTAGCCCAGACTGGCCTGGACTTGCAGTCTGCTGCCTTTTAGCGCTCATGGGTGCTCTGTAGACGCTGCTTCTCCAGCTGGGGCACCCTGGGCCCCCAAGACTGCAGCACCACAAGCTTATCTCCTCTGGGCTCCTCAGGACAATCAGTAGACTCATCAGTCCCAGCTTTGACGGGTGTGTAGTGTTTGGTGACTACAGGGCACACGTCGATGGTATGTGAGTTTCACAAGAACCCGATGAAGGCAAGTGGACCAGAAGTGTCCCCACCCCAAGACGCACAATAGAGACCAGGGCTGGCGCGTGTGAGCCCTGGGTTCCATCGCAGCATTGCAGAAAAAAAAAAAAAAATAACTTGCTCAAGACTGAGTAAGTGGTAAAGGCAGGACTAGAATTCAGGCCACCTAATTCTTCAGTATTTGTTTTGTTTTATTTTGTTTCAGAGTTCTTGCATGAATAAAAAATATGTAACTGGTAGGTGTCACACTATTCATTTTTAGGGGGTTGACTTTAAACTGACTTAACAACTTTAATTTCCAAATGTTTTAATTTTTGTACATTTATTGCTTTATCATCGATTCTAAGTCCTAAGATAATATTTTTATTTATTTAACTTCTCTATATGTCATAGTTGTGTAATTTAGGATTTACCAACTATATCACACCTGCAGTTGTCACCTTCCAGGAAGCCATCTCACGAGGGCAGGGACGTTTGGCAGTGTCTTTCACGCATGAACTTCGACCCCAAGAAGAGCCCAACACACTGTAGGCCTCACATATTTGTTGAATCTACTTTTGATTCCACACAGATGCATGCTTGTAATCAACACCTACTTGGTGCGTTTTGTAGGTTGGCGCCTCCTGGTGTCTGCTCCGGGGAATCCCACATCCCCTCACACTGTTCCTACTCACACAGGTGTGCGTCTGTATACATGTGGATAGATAAATGCACACAGATGAACACTTTTTCCCATGTATGAAAAGGATTTTTTTAAAAAATCAGATATTGTTGGAATAAACTTTCTCATATATAATAGTATAAGATAAGAACCTACCTGGATCACTGATTTAGCTGGAATCAAGGGCTTGGTTTTTGTTTTTTAGTACCAGAGATTGAACTCGGGACCTCGCACTTGCAAGGCAGGCAGCAGCACCACTGAGCTAAATCCCCCGCCCTGATTTAGCTGGAGAAAAGACAAAATTCTAAGACTTTTAAGAAATTGCAATGTTAATGTTTTATATCATGTGGATTCATGGTGTCATCCGAGTTCTGTTGTCCACAATAATCAATGAGCGTAAAAAAGCTGTAGAGATTCAAATCCACAGTGCACAAGTGGACAGCAAAAGCTTGAAGCTACGGTGTCTCGTACAGGACATGCCAGGACGTCTTCCCAGGGGTCCGTCCCAGCAATGAGTGGCTCTGCCCTCCAGTGTCCTCCTGCACCTGAATCACTTGGCCTTTCCTTTTCTGTCGTTGAGCACAGAGGCCTGAGCATCTTCCTTGTGTTTTTTAAAACAAATTATTGAAAATTTAAATGCAGGTAGGAAAATGAGAACATTTTCTATAGTCTGTTCACCGAGGTATGATTACCGTTAATCTCTAAATATATTGGGCCTCTCCTCCCCCACCCAAACTAATTGCCTTATTTTTCTATATCTACAAAAGTAAGAATAATTCAAAGGTGCATACGATAGTAATTTCCTCTTTCCCTCTCTCTGTGCTCCCCCCTCACACTCCAATCTCCACGGGTAACCACCGCTAGTTTATATTGTGCATTTATCTAGAATTTTCTATGCATGGAAACACTTATTTTTCTCAAAAGCAAGGTATCATAAAAAAAAAAAAAGCAAGGTATCATAATACGATTCTGCAACTTTTCTTCTCTCAAAAAACATCTCAAGTATCATTGGAGCTGTTTCTGGTTTTGATTTCTGTATTTAGTTATGAGAATCCATCATTATTTGTAAAACCAATCTCCTCTGAATGGACACTGTTATTCCCAGCTGAACATGCTGTTGGAAGGAAGACCCCACTGGAGGAGGTGAGTCATTGGTCTGTCTCTCATTGGTGCTCTTTCCCCAGGGCTCTGCTGCTCAGCCACCATGAACTAAGCATCTTTCCTCCACCAGGCCCTTCTGTGATGATGTTCTTGCCGTCGGGCCTGCCGATCATGGACCTAACCCTCTGAAATCGTGAGCCACATAAACCTTTTCTTTAAGTTGCACATGTCAGATATTTTGTCCCAGCAGCGGGAGCGCCGGTGTGTACCACGGTGCTCAGCTTGATACACATTTCATTGTTTTCACCATTTAGCTATGACAAATGATGTTGCCATATGCATAGGTGTACAGTTTTTATTTGGAAGTTTTTTTTCAGTCCTCTTGGGACACACCTACTAGTGGAATTGCTGGGCTTCTTTAGCCTCTATCCTTTCTGCTTCAATGATGTAGAAGGTTCCAGTTTCCTCACATCCTTGTCAACACCTGTCATCGCCTGTCTTCTTCTTTTTGTTGCTATTTTTTTTCTTCTTCCATTTATTTTTGGTACGGGAATCGAACTTGGGACATTGTGCTTGTGAGGCAGGTGGCAGAATCACTGAGCTTAATATCCGGCCCTCCATTTATTTATTCACTTATTCGTGCATGCATGCATGCATACAAGCATTCATTTGCTTTTTTTTTTTTGTGGTACTGGGGATCGAACTCCGGTCCTTGTGCTTGCGCAGCAGGCGGCGAAACCGCTGAGCTAAATCCCCGGCCCCCATTTGCTTTTTTTGGGTCCCAGGGATCAATCTCAGGACCTTGCACTTGCCAGGCAGACACTGTGCCACTGAGCTACATCCCCACCTGATTCGCATTTTTAAAATAACACCCACCTTTAAGAGGCATGACCTCGGGAGAGGGTTTTTTGTTGTTATTTTTGAGATAGGGTCTCCCTTTGTGATTCAGGCTGGCCTTGAACTTGTGACAATCTTCATGCCTCAGCCTTCCGAGTGCGGGGATTACAAGTGTGCTCCACCATGCCTGGCTAATGTGTAATATTTTGCCTGTCTTCTTAATTGCAGGCATCCCAGTCAGTGGATGTGAAGTCGTACTTTACTGTGGCTTTGAGTTCTAATTCCCTAATGACTAATGATGTTGAAATTGTTTGTGCTGATTGGCCATTTGTCCATCTTCTTTAGAGAAACATCTCTCCCAATTCTTGCTTTTTTGAGTGGATTGTTTTATTATTGAGTTGTGAAAATTCTTTGCACATCTGGACACAGATCACTTATCAGACATCTGATTTGCCAGTATGCTATCGCATTGTATGCGTTGTCATTTCGTGGAATGAGCTGGGACATATTCCTTCTTCTTCTGTCTTTGGAAGCTCGTTATTACTTCTCTGAATGTTTGGTGGAAGTAACTCGCCAGTGAAGCCATGTGGGTCGGCTTTTTTGTGGGAAGTTCTCACATTCTCATTGTGAACGACCAGACTTCTCTTTCTCTGTGACGTTAAGGTGAGATTTTTATATTCTAAATGGAGAGCCAATTATTCTAATGCCACTTACTGACTAATCCACCTGTTCCCACCAACTTCAGACACGCAGACAACTGATGTAGACGCTGGGGACCCCGACTGCCACTTAGCAAGGCCAGTCTGCTGCTTTGGCAAGGGAGGCACTCTGTGCTGGGGGGCCTGGGACACGGGTCCTGCCTTCCCGCTGTCACTGCCGACGTGTTGGCAGTCTGAACCCCCAGGGCTTTGTCCTTAGGCTGGAAGCCCATTTGCTGGACACCTAATAGCCATACTGCTCTGGGAGCCCAAGCTGCCAGCAGCGTCTAGTCCCCGGGTGGCTCTCAGTGACTTGACCTTGGCGTGCACTTGTCCCTCTGCCCTTCCCCGTGCTCGCCTTCTTTTCAGACCTTAGACTTGGGCTCCCTTACCCAGGGGCAGCGTCCATGACCTCCACCCTGCAGAGCTCACCTGGGGTCACCTGTGTGGACCCTGCCTGCCATGGCCTGAGCACTTCCCTCTCAGCCTGATCCTGTGCCCCAGGCGCTAAACGGAGCAGGAGGGGATGGCGAGAAGGGACCAGGATGGAGCCTGGGGGGCAGCAGCACCGAGACGCAGGAGGTGCGCTGGAGACAGGACAGAGGGCAGAGGTGAGCACGCCGGGACTCAGCCGAGGCAGGAACACTGCAGTTCGAGCGCCGCCTGTGCAATTCAGTGAAGTCTTGTCTCTGAGAAAAAATAAAAAGGGGGGGGATGCAGCTCGGTGCGAAGGCCCTGTGTTCAGTCCCCAGTACAACAGCCACAACCACAACACTATGCGACCCAGAGAACACACAGATGCAGATTAAAGAGCGCCGAGGGGCGGATGCGGCCCCAGAAGCTCCTCAGTGTCTTGTCCCTGGCCAGGCCGCAGTCCCTCTGCCCCTTGCTCCACAGAGTCTGCGCCTCTATCCCTCCTTTCAGCACCCTGGGGTGCCCAGGGGCCTGGTCCTCATGCGGTCCCTGCGGCCCAGCCCGGGGGCCCTGCAGGATTTGGCCTCCAGGCGAGCCGACCCCTGGCTCAGCGGCGCCCCCTGGTGGAAGCGCACAGCCTCACCACCAAGGCCTGGGCCGGGCGGCCGCTCGCGTCAGCACGGCCGGCTTGGGGTACCGCAAGCCCCGTCGTGGCTCCGGAGACGTCTTGGTGGACTTTTCCTTGAGCCGTTTTCTGTGGCAACAGAGGGGACAGGTGGGGACCCCCAGGCGTGCGACTGCAGGGCGAGGCCCTTGGCGAGCGCGGCCTGGCCCTCCTCCCCGGGGGCCTCTCATCCGCTGACATCTGCTCTGACCCTGACGTAACCGGGTCCCAGCACCGGGAGGTGCCAAGTAACCACTCCGAGAAAGGCGATTTAAAATTATACGAGGCTTCTTTTTTTTCATTAAAATTTTTTTTGCTGTTTTTTTGGTACCGGGGATCGAACTCAGGACCTTGTGCTTGCGAGGCAGGCGGGGGAACCACTGAGCTAAATCCCCGGCCTCCCTGTTTTTTTGGAGACAGGGTCTCACTACGTACCCCAGGCTGGCCTCGAACTCACTGCAGCCCATTACTGCTTCTGCTCTTCTCTTCTGGCCGTCACCCCTGGGCGGCACAGCGGGCCGCTTCCCGTGTTACCCGTGGGACGGAGTCGTGGCAGGACCTGGGTGGCCGCACGTGGGTTACGAGCAGACGCGGGCCACTCACTCAGCAGCTGCGGCTTCCGACCTGGAGGTCTCCGTTGCCTGCGCTCCGCAGGCCGCAGAGCGGAACAAGACTGCACATTGTAGTTACTGGAGGACAGCGGCGCAGCATACCGACAGCTCGAAACCCTGGAATGAGGACTCACGGGTTCCTGCACTCTTCCCTCCGTTCTGGTGCGTGCCTGAAAAAGGACGCGAAAAAGGTTGAAACAAAACAAAACAAGGGCCAGTTCCATCGCGCAGTCTCCCAGCCTTGCATTCCTCCTCCCTTTATAGCAATGCTGCAAGAAGTTGTTTCCACAGTGCAGACCCGGCTGTTTCTTCCTCATCCTCCCACCTGCTCTCTACCCTGAGCTGCACTCATTCCCTCCTCCTGTTTGCACCCCTTAATTCCAGCCTTCCCCTCCATTCCACCAACGCTGCTTCTCCACAGGCCACTGTGTAAATCAGGTGACTCTTTCTCTGTCCTCTTTTTCCTTGAACGTCAGCAAGACGAAGGTTGCACTCTCCATCTGGGGAGGATCTCGGTGTGGCTGTCAGCAGCGTCACTGTCATTCTGCTCTTGGCAGAAGGTGGGACTTGCGCTGGTGCTCAGGACTCTCAGCCCCACTGAGGAGACAGGAGGAGGAAAGGCAGCTGGGCAGGCACTCTGGCCGTGTCCCTTGCAGGAATCCAGAGACTTTCGACCGGGTCCAAGTGCATCAGGGAGCAGCGCTGCAGATGGGTTTGGGGAACCTACACGTGGAAGGAGCCGGAAGGGGCTTTACATACTGTGGGATCACAGCCTGAACAGAGAGAAACACCCTATCCCGGCAGCGGAGGAACAGTGGCATCGCGCCGCCTCCCAGGTGGGGCTCGGCCTGCAACGCTGAGGACCGGTGCAGAGCTGCGTGCGGGGAGAAAGCTCGCGAGGGTCAGAGGAGGGGCCATCGTTACAGAACGCAAGTGCAGCTCGGCCAGAAGGCCTGGGTAGGGGCCTTGCTAACCACGGGAGGAAGGGGTCAGCCGCAGAGTGGAAGGTGAGAGAGGAAGGACTTTTTGTATCGGGGATGGAAGCCCGGGCCTTGGTATCAGCTAAACGCCCAGCCCCTTTATTTATTTTGGTCCATGGTAATGTTAAATGTTTTTAAATAAAGTTTTATTTTATCTGCTTCCCCCTCAAGCTCCCTCTCCTCCCTATGCACAAAAGTTTTGTTTCCATTTTTTTTTCTATTTTCACTTTTAGCTCAGTGGCACCTTGCCTGCCCCTTTATTTTTTATTTTGAGACAGGTGAAATGTTAAGTTGCTCAATTGCCCAGGCTGGGCTCAAACTTGTGGTTCTCCTGCCTCAGCCTCCCAGAGTGCTTGGATTACAGGCGTGTGCCACACTGGCCCAAGAGGAAGGGCTACAGTACTGTTATGGCTTGTGTCTAGATGTCCCCCAAAAGTCTCATGCACTCATGGGTGGGGCTTTTAGAGCTGGCTGGATCTAGGGTGCGATGCTGGGATTAAGGGTGCCCCACTTGGGGTGTGGGTGGCACTGCCCAAAGGGCAGGGAGCTGGGTGAAATTTAAAGGCAGGCAAAGGCAGGCTGCTGCTGCTTTGCTACTTCACTGCTTTGCTCCCTTCAGCCTGCCCTGGCCTGCCATGGACTGTTTCTCCTGACGTCCCTCTGCCATGCTGCCCTGCCTTGGAGCTGGCCAACTATGGACTGAAACCTCTACAAACTGAGCCAAATAAACCTTTCCTCTCTTAACTTATGGGTGGTTGGGTATTTTGTCTCAGCAATGAGAAAAGTAACTAAGACAGCTATCTATGGGGTTGCATATTTAAATGTTTAAAACATTGTTACATGTGTATATTTAAGGAGACAGTAGTCAATTTATTAAACACATGGAATCAGAGGAAAACTAAGCTTTTTAAAAAGGCATAAATTTATTGAAACTTTAAAATTACTTTAAAATGTATTAAAGTCAGAGGAAAAACTAATCTATTAACTTTATAAACCTGTAAGTTCCAGGAATTAAATAAAGGATTTAGGTTTCAAAGAAGCAGATTTCAAAGAATCTTGCATCGAAAGGTTTCTGTTCCGTTGCTGGTCGTGCTGGGACTTGGGCCACGCCATGGTGAGTGAGCAGAGGCACCAGAAGTGGCTCTCGCCAAGCTGGTCAGGGTGGTCCTCCCTGAGTGCGGCCGCAGGGTTTCTTCTGCAGGTCTGCAGAGCCTGAGGGTTCTCTCCTGGCTCCGAGAAGGGCCACTTGTCTGGCCTCCCTGGCCACATCCCCACTGCAGGACACTAGGGCCAACAGATAAACAGTCTTAGGGGAGAAGTTTTTCCTCAGTTCTTCATCCCACAGCTAAAATCGTCACTTTGCTGGCCAGTTGTGTGGGTTGAATTTTAGTAACAGAAGCGATAGACTCGTGACCACAGGTAGATGAGGACTGTTGCTAGAATGCACGACACAAAAGACTGGGCCAGCCACCCTCTCCAGTAAGACATCGGTAAGGGGTCACTGAAGGACTGACAAAAGCCATCCTGCGGAGACAGGAGAGAAGGGTGAGATGGCTCCGGATTGCTCAGAACCCACAGAGGCCAGGAGCTCAGGGGCCATGAGCTCACGATGTACAAGGCCCCGGTTCTGTCCCCAGCACAAAACCAAGAGCACAAAACCAAACCCCCGAATACAAGGAGGTTCTACACGGAACAGTGAAATAGCTGCTGCATTTAAAAAGGGAGGCAATCTTTTGCATAAGGGAAGAGGACCAAGAGATAGAGAGGAAAAGGGTAGAAAAACAGAATTACGATGTCTTCTCTACATGCGCCTAGGTAGGAGAGAAGGAACGAGAAGCAGCCAGAAGGGAGACTAGAAAGCCAGGATTTAAAAATTGTACTGTTTAGAAAAACTGCAGCTTCAGGACACAAGTTACTCAAGCCTTTTTTCCCTTCCAGGAAAACTCATTCCAAAAAATTCCTAAAGGTCTTGAACACACAGTAAGGCTGTAACTCGGGCCCTAGGAGCACCCTTTTCACTTGTCAGTCGTGCTTCCTCCACTTGCAAGGAAGCAGTAATATCAAGAGCCTCGGACCTCACCTTCAAACACGTGGCAATGGTTTCCATCATGCCCTAGCTCACCCATCTTAAAGACCCTCAAGACCCCATGAATGTACCCAGCTCCCAATCATTGGGTCTCTCCTCTCTCTGTCCCTCCTCCCCCGTCCCTGGCTGCACTCCATTTGAGTACCTTTTAATTTCTGCCTAATAAAACCTTGCCATGTCTCTGACTGACTAGTCCTAGAAATTCTTTTTCTGTAAAGGGCGTCAGGGAAGCTTCAAACATCCTAGTTTAGGCTGGGTTAAGGTCCTCATCCCAGCTTTGGGGAACGTCCTCAGAACCTTGATGAATGCAATCAGCATGCAGCTCCCACATGGGCTAATAAAATAAGGGGAATCTGCCGCCTGCCTCCCAAACACAAAGTCCCGAGTTTGATCCCCGGTACCAAAAAACAAACAGACAAAAAAAAACCACAAAGGGAATCGACACATTCCAAATCTGTACCTGGGATACCTGGTCACCTCCCATGGAAGTGACCATCTGTCCAGTCACACAGCGGGGACACTGTGTTAATGCCCAGGAAGGGGGTCTACGCTAAGCAATGACACTGTTTTCCACGCCAAGGACGGGTGGAGCGGTGTCAGCTTGCTGGCCGGGGCAGGCAGACCCGCGAGTCCCCAGCAGGAGCACTCTGCTTCTGCCCCTGGTCGGCGCTGATTAGCAGAGAAGCGAGAAGACCAGTGCTCTTCTCAGCTCCCCTTCAGGTGCGAGGCTGGGAAGACCCAGCGTGGTCAGGGGACTCAGCTGAGGGCGCTTAAAGGCTGGGTGAGGAGCAGAGCCCGGCCCTGTACTCCCCTCCTTCCTCAGCTGGAGCCGGGCCGTCACCACAGGAGGCTGCGCTTTGATTTTTACAAGGACTCCCCAGATTTAACAGTTTACGTTCATCGTCTAGCGTGAGTCACTCTGCCTCAGCTCCAGTGCTGCGGCGGGGGCTGCTCTCCTGGTCACTAGCGGGACACAGGGCCCAGACCAGAGACTGGGGCCTGCAGCTGCGGCGAGGGGTCCCGGGTGTGGGGGGGGGGCAGAGCGGCGAAGGAGTCTGCGCCCCGGGACCCCACTGCCGGGCCTCGGCCACCCGCAGGTTCGCTTTGTGGAAGAGCAGGAAGCCCCTCCACCTGGCCCGCAGGGCCCCTGCTGACTTTGCTAACTTTGGGGGCCTTTCTAGAGCGCACAGCCGCGGGCCGAACGGGGAAGAAGCTGGGAGAGGCCTGCTCGGGACGGCTCCGGACACCCGCGCAGCGCTCACCCAGTCACCCTGCGCCTCCAGCCAGGCGCGGTGCCGGCCCACGAAGCGCGCGCACAGCCGGGCCACCATGCGTCGGCAGTCCCGGGCCACCTTCTCCCGCCCGCTGCTGCCCGGGTGCTCCAGCAGCGTGCCCGCCAGCGTCGCGAGCGTCACCACGCGGAGCCAGGTGGGCTTGCAGTCGTCGGGGACTATCGCGTCCGCCAGCATCTCCAGCAGCTCGGCGCGGTTCCCGCCGTAGTCGCGGTAGCGCGCGAAGTAGCGGCCGTGGCCGCGCAGCAGCTCCTGGGCCGCGGTGCGCAGCAGGGCGGCCTCGGGCGTGCGCGGCGGGAGCCCGTTGGTGCCCGGGTCGCGCGCGCAGAACTGCAGGTAGTCGGCGAACAGCTGCTCCGTGCGCGTCCACAGCGGGTCCCCCATGGCGCCGCCCCGAGCGCTGCCCGGCCGCTTTGTGTCCGAGCCCGCCCCGCCCCGCCCCGCCCCTGCGCGCGTCTACGAGGCCGAACTGAGAGCAGGTGCGGCGGCTGCCGGCTGCAAGGGGCCGCGGCCTCCCAGGGCGGGTTGGCGAGGCCGCGCCTGCAGCCGGGAGCGGCATCCGGTGGCCGCGGGACATCTGGGCTCTGGGCCGGCGGAGGGCGAGTCCTTCCGGGAGACCCCCAGCCGGCTGCTCGTTCCCTCGCTGAGCCCCGCAGACCTGCGGCCCTGGCTCCGCGGAGCCCCGGCCGGAGGAGGCTGGGCGCCGAGGCGCGGCCGCGCTCCCTTACAGCGCGGCCCTCACTGTACCAGCGCAGCTGCTGCTGGCGCGCCCAGCCCTGCGTCCGAGAGTCCCCTGCCCTTCGGGGACCGCCCCCGTCACGCATCCCCCGGCACCGCAACACGTCTCCTCTTAAACTGAGCTCACTATGTACCGAGGGGCGGAGGCGGCGAACCTTTCAGAGACGAGCGTCCGGGCTGCAACCCGGACGCTTGTTTATCACAAAGCGCCAACCGCGGCGGACGCGGAGTGCGCCGAGCTCGGCTGCTGGGCCGACAGGGGGCGCTGTGTGCCCGCGGCGGCGCGCGCGCCACGGCTTCGTCCTTCAGCCCTGGGCTTCCTCCTATTGACCGCTCCTGACTGGCGCTGGGGGCTCCAGCAGTGGGGATTCCGGGGTTCAGGAATGGGGCAGGCTGAAATGTCCCTGCAGCTCGCACCCACAGAAAAGAGGCCCAGCACTTAGCAGGCGCTTCGTCGGTCCAGGCTGCTGTACCGCGGAAGGCCGTGGCCGAGGCGTCTCTCAGGGCATCATCGCTCAGGGTCCCTCTGGCCGAGAAGCCCAAGGCCCAGCTCTGAGTCGGGGAAGGGCCCGCTTCCTGGCTCATCGCGGCCTCGCTGCTGAGTCTTCACAGTGCAGGAGGGCGGGCTCTCTGGGGCCCTTTACAGGGGCCTCGGCCTGTCCCCCAGGACTCCGCCCTGAAGTCCCGTGAATGGGGATAGAGCAGAAGCCGCTGTGAATTCTGGAAGCCACAGCACCGAGCGTGCGCCGCCGCAGGGAGGGGGACCTGAAGGGGAGCCTGCAGGACGCTGCTCTGCTTGGTGCTTTGTGCTGCTCTGAAAGTGACTGCTGTCTCCTGAGCTCCCTGGGTCTGACCCACCCCACCGGCAAGGCGGATGTGCACAGCAGCGACAGCCACCAGGGCATAGTGCACAGAAGACGAGCCCGGGCCAGAGGCCCCAGAGGCCCTCGCTCCCCCCTGGCTGCTGCATGCTTGCGCGGTAGGATCCTGAACAGAGAGGTCCCAGCAGGCCCCATTACCCGGTCCACTCTTGGCCAATACCAAGTGTGATAACGAGTTAGTCTTGTATACGTGGCTTTTGTCGTGGTATTTTTGTTTTTGTTTTTGAGACAGGGTCTTGCTATGTAGTTCAGGCTGGCCTTGAACTCACTGTGTAGTCCAGGTTGGCCCCAAATTCATGGCAATCCTCCTGCCTCAGCCTCCTGATAGGGTGACAGGTGTGCACCACCACACTTGGGTGTTTTTTTTTTTTTAATAGAATAGCAATTGCCAATTATATGCCATATTTTTGTTTGTTTGTTTTGGGTACCAGGGATTGAACTTGGGACCTTGCGCTTTTGAGGCAGGTGCCGGAACCACTGAGCTAAATCCCCAGCCCACCATAGTATTTTTAATAACAGATGTATTGAGATATAATTCATATAAGCATCACCCCTTTAAAGGATACAATCCAGTGGGTTTCATGTATTTACACTAAATAGGTTTGCAGTCATCCCCTGTAATTCCATTGCCCCACGAGAGACCAGGACCTTTATTTAGCAGCCCCTCCATGCCCCAGCTGGTTGTGACCGCTAATCTGTTAGTGTCCGCAGTTTGCCAGTCAGACACCTCATATGAATGGGATCACACAGGTGACCCTGCTGGCTGGTTTCTCCCCCACACGCACAGCCTCCTGGTGTGCTTACAGTCAGGGTTCGCATCTACCCATCCTGAGCTCATCTGTCACCGGGAGGCCTGCATTGGTTTATAGCAATGGAAAATATGAAGTAATTTCAGTTCTTGTACCACAGTTGGCCCTGGGTCAGCCCCCTGGTCCCCATGGAGCTGGACCAGTCCTGAAGGTAGTCTGTGAGACATTGTGGCGTGTGCAGGAGAGTGCCTTGTTCTCCCATGGTGGATGGGAAGCATGGAGTGTAGCATGTGTCCTTGCAGAGCACAGGGACGAGCAGCTCTGGGCCCCCAGAGTACGTCCTCCCTGAGACTGAGGCCCTCAGCTGCCCGGCCTGCATCTGGGGAGCTCAGGACTGGGTCTAAGCCTGTTGTTCCTTGGGGTGATTTCTCAGCAGCAAAGTCTGGCAAAGAAAGAGCTACAACCCCTGCCCAGTCGGTGCCCCTGGTCCTGCCCCTTTTGTCTCTAACCCTGGGGTCCCCATCACCCTCCTTTGAAAAGGTTCTCAGGGGTCCCTGGCCCCATTAGTGAGGGTTCTCAAGAGAAACAGGGTCAGCAGGACACATGTGTGGTCATGCAGGGGGTTTGCTGGGTAGCTTACTGGGTCCGGGCAGGAGAGCCCTCGGTGGCCTCTGCCTGCTGGAGACCCAGGGTGCCCGGCAGCTGCCCGGCCTGAGAAGGGGGAAGCTGGGACACAGCAATCAAGGATGCAGCACCCGTCCAGGGTGGAAGCCTGAAGGCTCACTGGGCAGAGTCGAGATGGGGTCTGCCTTGAAGGTGGCAGACACCGAAATCCGAGGTCCAAAGGGGATGGCGATGACTGGAACTCTTGCAAAATGGGGCCACTTCCTTCTTCTTTCCTCTTTATCCCATCCAGTCCTAATGGGGCCACCACATCCAGGCAGGTCTCCATGTCAGTCACGCACAAGCACGCCCAGAACTGAGTCCTCTGCCCCGCTAGGTGGCCCTTGATCTGTTCAAGCTGAGGGGCCAGGATCGGCTGTCACACCCCAGGCTCCCACTCTTCCCGAGGCCCGGCTGGCCCATCCGGAACTTCAGACACCTGGGCCTCTCCTCCTCCCGAGTCCTGGTCTCTTCCTTCCTTCCCAAGCCCCTCCAAGGCCTTCTGCCCAGGCAGCTCTCCACAGAGGCTCTGGAGAAGGCCTCACTGGGTTCTCTGGGTGCCACCGAGGGTCCCTGAGGCCTCTTCAGGCCCTTGATATCACTGTTTTCCTTCCCTCTGGCTCTTTGGCATGACTGGCTTCTTTCTCTGGTCCTCTCAGGAGGCTGCAGAGGTGCTGACGTGGGCGACACTGTCCCCTGCTGGCTGGTGGGTCATGTGCTCCTCTATTCTTGTGCCTCCCAAGATTTCTCAGCCTGAGGTTCTCACATGATAAATATAGACAGAAGTGATCTACACTGAGAAGCTATGGCCAAAATATGGTGAATATTCAGATTTTTAAAAGTTTACTCCAGTAGGACACATTGCAGTGAATCTCCCTCAAAATCCTCCCTTTGAACACACTCATCCCATGAAGCAGCTCTGGAGTCCTTTCCTAAGTGTAGCTGTGCTGCTGTCTGCCTCAATGTCCTGAATGGATTCAATTCAATTTCATGGTCATTTTGACTTTGGGGAGGAACCAGAAGTCACACGGGATCAGATCCGGTGAATGACTCAGAGGATGCAGTCATGTTGTCATGAGCTGCCTTTCTGTTGATGGCATGCAGCAGTGGCATTCAGCGCATTTTTGATCTTACCTCATAAAGAAAGCAGCCTCCAGAACTGCTTCAGAGTGGCAAGGACGACGGGACAGGTGTATTTGAAGTGAGGGGAGGAGGGTTTTGAAGGGCATTCAGGCAGTCTTTTGCTGTAATAAAATTTTAAACATTCAACATGTATTTCAATCACACTCGTATCTGGAGTCCTCAGTAACTTTTCAGCATGCAGAGGGGGCCCCAACGCCAAAGGCGACACCCACTGGCCTCGATGGCCGTTTATTTGATGGTTATCACTTAGGGACACCTGAAGGGGGGGAGGAGAGTGAGGGCCAGCATTGTGCAGTGGCCAGGAAGGGCGGGAGCTCCCGGGCTGCTGGGCCCCCTCAGCCATGGAGCCGTTTCAGATAGGAAGCTGAGGCTGACTTGGACGTCAGCACGGACTCTGTCCCGGTACAGCTGGGAGCCCACCCTGTCTCCGTGCCGCCCCTCCTAACTCCCAGATGTGTCTATGGCCAGCAGGCAGACGACTCTGAGGCCTGTGTGCAGAGGCCTTTTCCACCTTGTGCTGCTTCTCTGTCATCCAAGACGAGGTCTTCCTGAGTCACTAAATTGCCCAGGCTGGGCTTCAGCTTGCGGTCCTCCTGCCTCAGCCTCCCAGAGCACTGGCTGACGGGCGTGTAACAACTGCAGTCCCTGAGCAGGGCGGCCTTTGCACCACCCTCTATCTGGGGGAGGGCATGGAGGTCTGAGGGAGGGGCAGTGGTGTGGACCGGGTGCCTGTCTCCTCCAGCCGCCTCCTGAGGGTGCCCCATTCCCCAGATCCTCAGGCCAGCTCAGCCCCCTGGCGGGGGGAGGGGGGGCGCGCTGCCGGGGCTCTGCTCACCCGGCCTCCCCGCTTCACAGCAGGTGTGGCCCCAAGGCCCCAGAAAGAAAGAATGGTGCAAAAGCCTCTCGGCACTATTTTCAGTATGCAAAATACACTTTATTCCAGAGCTCCCCTGCAGCACCCATGCCGTAATCCAAAGCCGGGGTCCGTCAGCAAACCCAGCCCCAGGAGCCCACTCAACCCTCTGCACCCCCAGGAAGGGAGGAGAGGAGCCAAGGGCTCCTGTAACACATAGCGCCTGACGTCTCCTTGAAGGGACTCTGAATTTTAAACAAGGACAGAATGCTGTCTTGATACTGTTTTCTTCTCTCAGGACAGCAACGAGGACATGACTGTCTGAGACCCCTGCCAACCGTCTACCGGGTCACGCAGCACTTGGTACGCACATGTGACCGATGCAGACAAGAGCCGCTTGGGCTTGTTTGTACTAATACTGCTCGTCAGCATTTATGTATTTTAATTATTGTTTTGATTTTGAGACACAGGGTCAACTATGTCGCCCAGGCTGGCCTCCAACTTGTGACCCTCTTGCCTCAGCCTCCCAAGTGCTGGGATCACAGGTGTGCCGCACGCCTCCTGCTCTAGTGGGTTCTGAAGTTGAGATTGCTGTCAGCAGCACGTGTGTCACAAACAGTGGCCAGCTTTGCCGGTGTGACACCAGGCTGTGTTGCAGCTGCACATTACTCAGGCCGGGCCCTGTGCTTTCTACCCTGTCTGCTCCATCTGTAGCTGTGCACACAGGCGGAAATGTTTCACCAAGGAGAAGACAATGGAGCAGCTAGCTGAAAACAACTTTCACAGCAAAACACGTTTTTAAAAGCGATGCTGCCTGATCACATCTGGAATGGAGTCTCCTCCTCTCTCGACCGCTCGCTGAGATGCAGCGCAGAGCGCTGTCAGTGCCGGGTTCTGGGTCACAGTGACTCGAGACTAATAAATAACCTAGTAAATTCAGGACAACCTGAAAAAGCGACACACTTAACATGTTCGAAGTGAACAATACTGCAATACAGGTGTGGGCGTGGTGCGAGGCCACATGTGTGTCACTTGGGGTGGCGGCCCGGAAGCATCCTCACTGAACTTTGAGGAGCCGAGCAGCGAGCAGCATCCTGAGGGTCTGTCGCCTTCCATGGCCTCCACTGCATCTCGAGTGAGGACTAAGCCCAGACCTTGAAGACACAAGCAGGAGCGCTCAGTCCGGTCGTCCCGAGGGCTGAGCCTGCACAGGAGAGCAGCTCCGGTGGCTGCCACGCCAGGCAGCACTGGGGCTCTCGGCCCGGCCCCGCAGCAGCTCCCTGTCGCAGAAGTCTGAACCCTCCTCCCTCTCCTAGGCCTGGACGCCAACTCAGCCCCCAGAGGACACGCCCTCCCAGGGGCCCCTGGAGCTCTGGGGGCCTGCTCCACCCCCAGAACCTGCTGCCCCAGACCCAGTGCACCCCGGCCTCCTGCATCTTGGGCTGGATCCTAATTGTCCAGCAGAGGTGGCAGCACCCTGGGCCCTGCCCCATGAAACGCCCGCCTTGGGCGCATTTGGGGGAAAGGTCAGGAGCTTGCTAACCTCATGGTTGGGCAGACCTCGGGGCAGCCTGGAGCCCCGAGGCCTGTGACCCCCCATCACAACAAGGCCAGTGAGAGCAGGAGGAGCTGCAGGCTGCCGGGAGTCAGGGTGGGATTCCATCACCGGCCTCAGGCATCCCTGGTACGAGGGACACTAGGGTCCCGCTGCCCAGTGCTCACGCTAGGCAAGGGAAGCGACTGCCTGGTGGACAGGAGCCTCCCTGTTCCTGGCGGCACCCCTCCGCCTGCTCCCGTCACCTGCAGGGAGAGAGGCACGCGCCTTACCCGGAGGGTGTGGTCCCAGGACCCCGAGCAGAAGGCGGTGCCGTCGGGGGACACGCGCAGCGTGCTCACGCGGTTCTCATGTCCAAACAGGATGGAGGCACGCGCGCCCTTGAGCACATCCCACACATTGATGGTGTAGTCATTGTAGCCAGCAAACAGCAGGCGGCCTTGAAGTGGGGCAACAGCAATCAGGGGCCTTTCCTTCCTGGTGCCACCTCCCTTTCAGGACTCCATCACTCACTCACTCACTCACTCACGCAGTCCACAGGCGCTGCGCTCGCTCTCAAGACTCAGGACGCCAGGTGTCGCCAGCCCAGGAGGTGGTGGGAATGAATCATGAGCATCCTGCAGCAGCCAGGCTTTAAGGGCCCATGTTCGTGCATGTGTGGTGTGTGTGTGCTTGCGAAGTGCTAAGGAGACCAAAACAGGCCACCCCTAGGGCTTCCATCATCAGCGACTGGAAAGCCCGGTGCAGTGCTCGGGGTGAGGGACATGGTCACACACTGGCTCAAAGAGCCCTGGCCCATGGGAGGCACCCCGCTCAGTTCCATCATGGTCGAGGGAGGCACCCGAGGGAGGCCTTACCGCTGAGGGAGAAGTCCACGCTGGACGCGCCGAAGATGATGCTCTCCTTCGAGTAGATGGCCACCTCCCTGTCCGCCCGGAGGTCATAGAGGCGGCACTGGGGAGACAGACAAGGTGGCCGTCACCTCGGCTCCACGTGGGAAACAGGGACTAAGGTGAGGCAGGGCTGGTGGCACGTGTGCTTTGATGGCTGAGGAAAAAACTCTCGTTTTCTCTATTACTGCACCCCTCGGCCTCATTCCTATCAATCTCCACGGATCACTGGGAGCCAGACAGCAGATACAAAGCCAACAACAAAACCTGACTCTTTCCCCTGCTAAGGGATGTGGCGTCATGCAGGCAATTGGGAAGTGCAGAAAAGCACAGGAGGGGAACATGATTCGCTCCCACCCATGGGTGTTCACCATGCTCGGGCCACTCCATCTCTCTGCCATTTCTCCTGTGCTCACTCTGGGTGAGCACCTCGGTGCTGTTTCCACCAACGCCTCGCTGCTCGAATTTCCCACCCCACTCTTTAGTCTTCAGGAAAACATGCCCGGCGGGGCCTGGGGACATCCCTCACAGGGACGTGTCTAAACCCACAGGCCAACCCCACTCAGGGTTCCATGCTGACTCTGTTCCCTTTCCCACACACCACCATGAGGGGCTTCTCGTGTGAACAGCTGCACACTCAGCTCTAATTCTTCCCGCAGGTAGCTGAGACCATGCCTCAGAGTGGCCAGGACAGGCTGGCGTCTCAGGGCTCGGGGGGCCCCTGGCAGAGCTCCCTGGAAAGGGGGATCCCCAGCCCCCCAACCCCACCTGGGCAGCACCTGCTGGACCCATGGGGCAAAACGATCAGAGGTCACTTTGGAAACATTTTCAAGGGTTTAGTACCAATTTGGATTTGGTGCTTGTAGATGGTCTGCACTGATGCTGCGTGCGTGCATGCCCATGTCCTGGTACTCATTTACTGATGATGCCACTCCTTCATATCTGCCACATATACAACAAGAATTTTTCCAAAAATATGTGTCTTCATATTTATTTTCTGACATGTAAAAGTTTTAATATTTTCATTATCACAGCTCAGTCTGTTCCCTTGTAATTCCTTCCAGAGCAGGAAATCAGAATGAAAGTTCCTATTTAACAGTACCATTTTGTTTTTACAATCCTGGGGATTAAACCCAGGGCCTTCACGCTGAGTCACATTCCCAAGTACCAGTCTTGCTAAGCACACAGGTAGGACAGGGTCTTCTGGCCTCCAACTCTGGGGCCAAGGGATCTTCTTGCCTCAGCATCCTGAGTGGCTGGGACTACAGGAGTGTGTCCCACACCCAGGTGATACTTCCCGACATTTTTTTTTTTGGTACCGGGGATCGAACTCGGGTCCTTGCACTTGCACAGCTGGCGGCGAAACCACTGAGCTAAATCCCCGGACCAGACAACACTTTTTGAGGAAAACAAAAAATATTTTTTCCTTAAAAAAAACCCCATAATTTGCAATTAGTGCTGAAAGCCTTAAAACTAGGTCTAGTTTTGGCTTAGTAAATTCTAAGCTCTGAGAGTTCTAAGAAAATAATGAGATAAAAATATTTATGGTAAGCAAGCAATGTTTTTAACACACATACAGACACCTCTGAGAAAAGCTAACTATAAAAATTGAAGGGGCCGGGGATTTAGCTCAGTGGTTCTGCCACCTGCTTTGCAAGTGCAAGGTCCCGAGTTTGATCCCCAGTACCAAAAATTCTAAAAAATAAAATTACGGCAGTGCACCTTGGTTGCTCGGGGCAGGTTCCAGGTGGGGAGCCTGGGGACTCACCGTGGCATCGTCGGAACCCGAGGCGAAGGCGTCCCCGCTGGGGTAGTACCTGCAGGGTGGAAGAGGGAAGAGGGTGACATGGGACTTTGAGTCCTGCTGACTTAGGACATCGTTTTTCTCCCTCAGGAGGGTGGAGCCCTGGTCTCTCCCGCCCAAGGACAATGCCTAGCACAGAAACTGCACGGGTCTTTGCTGAGTGGACACTGTCTGACCTCGGATGGTGTCAGCTGTCCCTAAGCCATTTGAGTGAAATCTCCCCGCCAGGCCTCTACACCACCAGCGGTTCCTGCCAAGAGCCCTGTCCCAGCAGGGAAACAGTCTGAGGTGGGCCCTGTGCCCCGCCTGAGCCCCAGCAGCTCCCCAGGATGGGGAGGGCCCCAACTCCCCTCACTGACCGGACGCTGTTGATGTCCGACTCATGGGTCTCGAAGGCCTGCACGCACTGGCCAGAGCGCATGTCCCACACCATGGCCTTTTTGTCACAGCCCTGTGAAGGTGAGATGGCGTGGGTCACGGGCACCGTGTCCTGAGGACAGCCGCTCTCCTCCCTGAGGGCCCGGGAGCTCCGCAAGGAGCCTGGTGCGGGGAGCGTGTCCCGTCAGTCTCTGAGCCCAGACGGTCAGCGCCCCACTCACCCTGGGGCGTCCTCACCCTCGCCCCCTGCCTCCCTCCGCCTTTCCTGGCCCAGTGGGAAGGGTGGGCAGCCAGGGGGACCCAGGTCCCAGACACGGGAGGAGTCTCGGGGGTGCTGGCCAGACTCCAGGCACTGACAAGCTAGTGGAGCAGCCTTATCATCGCCACACAGCTGGCCAGGGAGACGGAGGCCCCAACAGCCGGCACAGGCAGTGACAGCCACGCTGGGGTCCGAGGGCACAGCTTCCGCTCGGCGCAGGCAGGCGTTTGAACCCTCAGTGGAGGCTGAATCGGGCTCCGTTTCCCTCAGCTGTGATTCACACGACACAGGGCCACCGGGCGGTGGGGGCCACGCAGAGGTGTGGGACAGCCACGCACCCACGAAGGAGGCGGGGTCCCTGCTCGGGGGCTAACCCCCGGGACTGGGGAGTGAGTGCTGGAGCGGAGGGCCCGTGTCCACTGTCCCGACTGTCAACCCATCTACCCGCTGCAGTGACGACCCAGGGACAGGCCGAGCACAGCTGTGCGTTGTCAGATTCAGTCGTGAAACTCAGAGCGGGGCAGCGTGGGCTGGGGCCAGGTGCCCGACTCCTCCTTGGCACATGTGGAGCCCAGGTACACTGTCCCTGGGGACACCTGTCCCTGGGCCTGGCTGGCAGGTGTGGGGCGGGGCACCTTCCACACCAAGCCCCGCAACATCTCAGCACCTCGTCTGGGCAGCTGTGGCACCTGCTCTTGCACCACAGCTCCTGTTCTCAGATGCGAGCTCTGAGGGATGTTAGGTACAAGGTGTGATAGAAAGCTACGGTGAACACTTACATTTAAAAACACTATTTTAGTAAAGGACACATAGCCATGAATCCTCCCCCTTGTTATGAACACACTCATCCCATGGTTCTTGCCCCTTTCTGCAGCAGTCTGGAGTTCTCTTTCCTGAGTGTCATGGCTGCCTTGATGTCCTGAATCGATTCACGTTTCCCTTTCATGGCTGTGCGAGGCCGGGTGACTAAGGCGGCTGAGGACAGCATCATCTTTACGAGCTGCCCTTCCACTGGATGGCGCTTGGCTGCAGCATCACTGTCCTTCTGAACCCTTACCATAGGGACTTGACCCCATGGAAAGAGGGCTCCAGGGCTGCTGCAGAAGGGGCCAGGCGGGTCACTGTGAGGATGAGGGCAGGGCTGTGGGGCACTCGGGCCACATCTCTTGCAGTCCTGACTTTCAAGCTTGTAAGCGCTCGCTGTGTAGTGACATCCCACAGAGGGCAGTGGACAGGCACCTCGGTCGCAGCTTTTGGACAGAACACTGGGGGTCCCTCTGGCCCCGGGGTAATGGGGAGCTTCGGACACTCTGGGCACCCTCCCAGGCAGGATCTGGTCGCCCCCAGCTGTTACCCCGGACACGAAGGTATTCCCGGTCTCCGAGGGCGCCAGGTCCAGGCACAGCACGTCGGCCCCGTGCCCGTGGAAGCTCTGCAGCAGCTGTCCGCTCTCCACGTCCCACAGTGCGCACGTCCCGTCGCCACTGGCCGTCAGGATCTGCCAGGGAGGATGGGGCAGGTCAGCGTCCCAGGTCCCAGCAGGGTCCCAGTGGTGTCTGCACCCAGCTCCGCAGGGCTGCCACCCACAGGAGGCACCAGGAACATCTGTGGACGGCTTCCACTGCCCACCATTCTTGTCTTTCTGTTTTTTTTTCTTTCTGGGGAGGGGGCACTGGGATTTGAGCCCAGGGTCTCATGCAAACTAAGCGAGCCCTTTACCACCAAGCTACATCCCGTTTTTTAAAAAAATATTTGGAGACAAGGTCTTGTTAGGTTGCTCAGGCTCTAACTTGCTATCCTCCTGCCTCAGCCTCCTGAGTGGCTGGCGTGACAGGCGTGCACCACCTCTGGCTACCGCATGCTCCTCTGTGGCCTAGGGGGACACGGGCATCAGCAGCAGATAACACAGGGTCAGGGGGTTCCGGGATCCCGGTGAGCGGCCCCAGCCCAAGGGGCGGCATCTGAGCCCACAGACCCAGCACTGGACCCAGGGCTGGAGCCAGAGGGACTGTGGGAGGGGAGTGGGCAGATGCATCTGGCTTCCATCGCACTGTAGGTCACAGGGCCCCATGTCAGTCAGGCACCCACGGCCTGCCCGAGGTGCCCACTGGTGAGACGGGAGCTTGGTAAACCGGGACCTGCGGGGGCCCCGAGCTCCACTCCCCACAGGGGCCCTGCCAGGCCGGCGAGGACGGGGCAGCGGGCATCACCCTAAGGACCGTGGAAGTCCGTGGGGCGGCCCTGTCCTGCAGCCCTCACCCCGCAGCCCCACACCTGCATGTCGGAATTGGTGAAGCTGCAGGCCGACAGGTAGTTGGTGTGCATGGCCACCGACCTCTTCTTGGCTGCCATGTTCTCGTTCTTGTCGAAGGTCAGCGGGTACACGGAGCACTTGTTATCCAGGCCCCTGGGGACGGGGCCACAGGTCAGGTCAGTAGGCGGCGCACGGGGCACTTCCCTCCCTGCAGGCCCGCGGACTGTAAACTCTTTCCCAGCTTTTACTTCTATTTTTTTGAGAAAGGGTCTCACTCTGCAGTGCAGGCTGGCCTTGAACTCACTATGTAGCCCAGGCTGGCCTCAAACCCGTGGCAGTCCTCCTGCCTCAGCCTCCCGAGTGCTGGGATTATAGGTGTGTGCCACCATGCCTGGCCTCCCCCAAATTTTACTTTGAACATTTCCAAACCTATAGTACAACTAAAAAAATAATCCCAAATATCCAAATCCCTTTGCTTAGTTTCACAGACACTTTGTCAGGCTTGTGGAAGGGAATCTCGAACCATCATCTTTATCCCATCTGAGAAAATTCACCAAGTCCCCAGTGCCATCGAATCAGCCACCTATTTGGTGGTTCTGTTGTCCTTGGGGCCCAGGGGAGCCATACCTTGGGCTCAGCAGTTACTGACAGTCAAGATTCCTGTCTGGTTTCCTTGCTTTCCTCAACCTCCCTCGTATTTCATTTTTGGTTTTTCAGGACAAGATCTTGCTACATACTCCAGTCAGACCTTGAACTCGGATCGAGGATCGTTCTGCTTCAGCCTCCCAGGTGTGGAGGTCACAGGCATGAACCATCATGGCCGGCCTCTCCCTTGCATTTTAAAAAATGGTTTCACCAATATGCACTTCCTCTGCTTTGGTTGTCATCACACTCGCAAGGAGGCCAGCGCGGGAACTGCCCTCCTCCACTTGCTCAGGCCAGGGAGGCTGAGGGGCTTCAGGGAGGGCAGCAGCTCCCACACTAGCAGCCACCAGGGGGCACTGAGCCCCCGTGGGTCCTCTTCCCTGTGGCCCCTGGCCTTGTGGACTCTCTGCTGGTCCACTCAGCGAGGGTCAGGGTGGGAACACGCACAGTACCGCTTTCCTGGCCTGTGGAAGGCGCGGTTACATCTTCACACAGCCATCTGCCCTGCACAGCCTCCTGTGATTCAGAACCCGGGGCCTGGTATTTCACTTTTTAAATTTCTTTCTTTTTTGAGACAGGGTCTAGCTATGTAGCCCAGGCTGGCCTCGAACTCATGGCGGTCCTCCTGCCTCAGCCTCCTAAGTGCTGGGATCAGAGGCGTGTGTCGCCATGCCAGGCGGGTACCTAGTATTTCAATGTCAAACCCCGAAGAATCTCGAGACACATCCAACTCTGAGCGTTCCCGATGAGAAATCCTTGCCCAAGGGTGTTGAAGCTGTATTTTCTCTTCCTGCTGAGCACGGGGGACCATGCCTCACCTGAAAGGGTTCAGGCCTCTCCTGCCAGGAGGGGACCCCTGGGCCCCAATGTCCCCTGGTCCTTCTGGAGGACCTTGCCACTGGACAGTCAGTCCAATAATGGGGATCCAAGGGGCCCCAAGACACACCTGGTCAGTTCTGACCTCCAGACGTATTGGCCCAGGTCGCCAGGAGGACAGGCTGGGTGTTTCGCCCCATGGGGCACGGCCAGCCCCAGCCACAGGTGGGGCTGGGAGCTCAGTGATGCCTTGGGACTCGGCCCCACTGCCTCTCCCTGCAGCTGGTTTGATTTCTGCCCTCTGCTGTCCCAAACCCAGTGAATGACTGTCCCAGCTCCTCAGGACCCGGCCTGCAGCACAAGAGCAGAGTCCTCTGGAGGTGGAGCTGGCTGCACACGTGACCAGGGCCTTCTCTTCGCCCCTGCAGTGAATGCACCACACACGGGACGCACAGTGTGTGTCTCCCCTGCAGCCACCTCAGGTCCTTCAGGAAAGCAGACGGGGAGGAGCCTGACAGAAACACGGGCAACCAGCTGTGCGTGGAGATGTAAACACCCCCGAGTTAAAGGTTAGAAAATACCATGGACACGCACGTTGAGTGTGTCCCAGGCCCATGAGGGCAACGTCCCCAGACCAGCCACATGGGAGGGACCCTGGCTGGAGAGGGTGCTGAAACTTCTGCTTCGGGGCTCAGGCTCTTCTTTTTTTAAAGTAAAATCTTTTTCTTCTGATTTAAAAAATAATGTATGGGGAAAAAAATAAATAAAAATAGTGTATGCTTACATTAAAAAATGAAAAGTAGAAAAACTTATAAAGAACATTCTGGGGCCAGGGATTTAGCTCAGTGGTTTCGCCGCCTGCTGCCCAAGCACAAGGACCAGAGTTTGATCCCTGGTACCAAAAAAAAAAAAGGAAGAAGAACACTCTGCACAGGGCCAGAATTGTCTAGGGCAGGTCCGGGAATTCCGTGTGTTTCAGTCCTTGTTGCCAATCCTGTGATACCAAGCTCCGAAAGAGACTAGGTGCCTTCTTACTAGCCTCAATCTTCTTTTCTCTTGATGTAATTAATTTCCCTTTTCACATCTGTGTAATATTCCATTCGATACATATACCATAACTCATCAACAATTTCTTTTACATGAATATATTGCTTCATTTTTCTCTTTTTCAAAAAAGTTCTACAAGAGATGTCATTGCACAACTTTTGTACTTTTTGGGTCATTCCTTTCACACCAGCTCCTATACAGGGAGTCAGTCACTAGATCAAAGGTGAGAAAATGTTCGAGGCTTCCGAGACACTCCAGAGACTGCCTCCCAGTGTATGCAGCTCTGACGGTGCAGGGGACAGGTCTGACTGCACCCTGCCAGTGTGCACTGAGAACACTCAGGAGAGCGCTCTGGGATTTCCTGTCCGAGACCATCTAGGGCAGGGCTTAACACACTGCGAAGCGCGCCCACAATCGTGAGCTCTGTGCGAGCTCTGTGCACGAGAGGAGAAGGGAACGGAGGCCGCTTACCCGCAGGCGATGGCGCATCCCGATGGGGCGTAGGCGCAGGCCATTACCCAGGTGCAGGGCATAGTCACCGCGTGCTCCTGCAACACAGCAACACAGCGCACGGCGGAGGCAGGTGGGCTGGGCCTAGGGCCGAGGCTGCAGGGGCCCGGCCTCCCCACCCTCCGCGGAGCTCGAGCTAAAACTCAGCCAGAGAGCGGAGGTTTGAGTTCTTAGGCCGCGCAGTAACCCTCAGCTCGGGGACGCGCGCTGCTCTGCACAGACAGCCGGTCCGGTCCGGAGCAGACTAACGCTCTCGACACCCCGACACCCCCGGGCTTCTTCCCGCCCGGGTCCCTTTCCGCGGCAGCGGTGTTGGGGGGGCGGAGGCTCGAGGGACCAAGCTCCCCGCTGCGGCTGGGTTACTGAGCCCCTGCGTGCAGGCGACGGCGCCCACGTTTCGGGAGCCCTGGGTCCGGGTCCGCAGCTGCCCTTCCAGGAACAGGGAAGCCATTCCCACTTCTGACCCAGGCCCCGCGTGGCCCCTTTTGGGCTGGGAGCGGAGGGACCCCCACCAGATGAGCGCGCTCCACACACCCAGGCCTCCTCTGCGTCTCTGGTCCCCACGTCCCTGCCGGACCCCGCTGACTCAGCCTCTCGCAGGGCGGGCGCCCGGCCCCTGCCTCGCGTGTCATCAGCCCGTCCCTGTCAGGCCCACGTGGGAGACCCCAGGGGACGCGGGCGACTCTGAGTCCGGGGCCAGCGGCCGGTCAGGCCCCAGGGGAGCCCTCCACCAGGCTCCTGCTCAGAGAAAGCAGCCTCTCTCGACTAAGGCCGGGACGGCGTCCAGGAGCGCCCCGCCTCGCCTCCCCTCCCGTCGGGCTGTGCACACGAATGCGGGGCTTCCCGGCCGCCACCTCAGGGCGGGAGCCGTGTCCCGGCGCCACTCACCTTGTTGGTGGTGAAGGAATCCCACACGATCACCTTCCCGTCCTGTGGGGAGAGAGCGTGGCTCAGCGCCCAACCTCCCCGCCACGCGGAGGGCGGAGTGGCGCGGTTCCCAGGCCGCAGCCAGACCCAGGAGGGCTCGCGCTCACTGCGCATGTGCTGTACCGAGAGTACGGGCGGCCACTGGCCCTGCCGCCCACGCGGGGCCTGCGGGCTACAGAGGGAGCCCCGCCAGCCCAGCGCCCCAAGTGGGGACGCCCCAGCCACCTGGACCCACGTGGGCTGTGGCGGGACCTGAAGGGCGGTCGAAGCCGGCACTCGGGACCTTTCACGACTCCAGGCCCTGCCACGGCCAGTATGGCGTGGGGTCCCCTGGCCCGCAGCCCCAGCTCCTGGGCTCCGTACGGCTTCCTGTGCTCCGCTGTCCCCCTGCCACCCGCCGGGTACCGTCACACGGGACAGGCGCAGGCGCAACACTCGGGCCCCCACACCTCGCTCCGTGACTCGGATCCACCTCCTAAGGGAGAGGGCGGCCAGTTTGAGGCAGGGTTGAGTCAAGGTCGTCCCGAGTCCCCCAGGGTCCCCCTCACCTGCATCCTTCTCCCCTTTCAGAGCCCAGCAGGGTGCAGGTGCTTTCCTCAACCCAGCTAGCAGGAGTCGCTCCTGCTTGGCAACCACTTCTTAAAAATAAGCTTTTGAAAAACAGGCTAGAAAGAAATGCTCCAAAATAGTGATGGCAGGGAAGCAGGAGTAAAAATGTTTTATTTTCCAGTGTTTCTTTGTCATATTGGAGCGATAAATTTACTATGGATGGGCTAGGTGGGGTGGGCATGCCTGTAATCCCAGCACCTGGGAAGCTGAGGCAGGAGGATCACCAGTTCAAGATTTGCCTGGCCAACTTAGTGACTTAGCAAGGTACATGTCTCAAAGTAAAAAAGGTCTGGGATGTAGCTCAGTGTGAAGGCCTTGGGTTCAGTCCCTAGTACCAAAAAAAAAAAAAGGGCAATAAAAAGCAAGCACCACATGTTACCTCACGTGTGTAGGTGACACAGGAGACTGAAAATAAATACAGTGTCCAATTTGACAGGAATGGAGATGGACCACGGGTGGATTATCTAGAAGATGCAGAGCTTTACAGGGGTTAAGAAAAGATAAACCAACCTTCTTCTGAGAAGCTGGGTGGGAGACGAGAACAATGAGAAACCTGCGCTGATCATAAAAACCTGGTTCCGGGAACGTCTCCTGGGAGTCCAGGTTGCAATTTTACGTACCACACATGCATACGAAAACAGATGTGAAAATGAAGCTGTGGGCCTCCTAGGATCTGGGCATTTGGGGCAGTTTGCTCTGCAGCTCTGGACATGAGCACCCAAGACGTGAGCCAGGTGGACTCTGTGGGACTGTATGATTCCAAATTCAATTACTCCCCTAGCCTCTATTGTATTTAAAAATTAATGGTTAAAATGTGCTTGTTAGTTCTGGGATAAAAGATAAAATCTGTAGCAAAACAAAGTTCCTAAGTAAATTACTCAACCCCTTGTTTGTCCGGAGAACGAATGTTCCCGGGCCCACTGTCGGTAGAACAATCCATCAATGTGTCTGCCGACCATCAGTACGTGACAGTCGACCACTAACCTTTGTTCCTTTTTTTTCGTACATCTACATGTTAAACTCCCCCTCAACGCCCTATAAAACAGCCTCAGACTCTGAGCCAGTTGCCTCTCTAAGCTATTTTGCTTTGGGAGTGCCGTCTGGCCAGACTAATAAAGGTCTGTTTTATTTTCCAACTTGTCCAGTGTGTTCCTTCCTGGGTGTTGATTGCTGCAGTCAGCTCCTCAGAGCGTTTGGTAAGGCCCTCGGTCTTACACTCTAGTGAGTGGGCAGTTACTTCCCACTCACTTCAAATCTGTCCTCTAAGCTGTAAGAGTGAAAAACTCAAGCTGAAAGAGAGCCATGGGTGGAATCTTATGGCCTCCGTTTGTGCAGAAACTTTAAAAAATGGGCTCCCTCAACAATGAGGCCTTGTGATTCACCCAGGAAGAAATGATTCAGAGCAGCTCAGGAAAGTCAAATTTGTTGACACTGTCCCAACCCGCCCGGATCCCAAACCTCCCAAATCAGCAAGGAGCAAAATTCCTCGAGCTGAGAGCCATGTTCTTTGGAGAACAGGCAGAGTCATCTGGCTGGACCAGCACCCCAGGGACAGCCCTCCACCCCTCAGCCTGAGGCGCCACGTACCTGGGAGGAGCTCACGATCCGCCGCTTGTCCCGGCACCAGTCCATGCACAGCACCTTGTTTCCGTGGCCTTTGAGGGTTCGCCTGGTCTTCATGACGAACTGGCCCAGGGCCTCCACGCGCTCTGCCACCTGGTGCACTGGGAGACAGCGTCAGTCAGCCCCTCGCCAGGGCCAGGCTCGGGAACACCAGCCTTGGACAGGGCCCAGGTGTTTCTGTCAGGCCTTTGCCGTGCACTTTGCTAAGGTCCTGACTCCTCTGGGTTTATTTAAGACTCCATGTTTTCCAAAGCACTTCCTTCTGTACATAGCATGTGATCGAGAGTATGGCAAATACTTAATTTTTAAAATCTGTACAAAAGATGAATTGCTATGAATTCCCCTCAAAATCCTCCCCCTCACTTTGAACACACTCATCCCATTGTTTTTGACACTGTTTTTTTTTTTTGGTACCAGGACTGAACCCAGGACCTTGTACTTGCCAGGCAGGCACTGTGCCGCTGAGCTAATCCCCAGCCCTCTTTGCTACTTTCTGAAGCAGCTCTGGAGTCCTCTTTCCCGAGTGTCTTTACGAGGTGTGATCAAAAATACAGTGACTGCTGCTGCCCAGTGGCATCCAAAGGAAAGGGAGCTTGTAAAAACATGATGCTGCGTCCTCATCCATCTGATTCTCAGAGACTGGCATCATCCAAGTCTGGGTCTGCCCCAAAGTCACAAGGACCATGAGAGGGGAACTTTTTGAATACATTCAGGACATGGAGGCAGCCACAACTGCAACTAAGACATTCACAAAACAAAACTTCCAGAAGTGCTTTGGCAAGTGGCAGGAATGATGAGGTAAGTGTGGCTGAAGCAAGGGAGAGGAATCGGGGGGGGGGCGGCATTCATGGCAATGTGTCTTTTACTGTATTAAAAAAAAATGAAACATTCGCCATATTTTTCGATCACACACAAATGCCGAGGGATGAACAGACCACATGCGATTCACCCACGGTACCACCTGGGGTCTCAAAGGTAGGGCCCGCCCTTCCTGAGCCCTGCCCTGGGCTTAGGCGGAGACTGAGGACCTGGAAAGAGGAGTTCACAGGAAGCGATGCCCAGCCAGCGACCCAAGTCAGCTCTGAAGCAGCTCCGCTGCCTCACCCTCAGGCCTACAGCCACCATCACGGCAAAGCCCGGCCCAGCCCCGTGGCACCCAGGCCACGCCCTGCAGCCCCAGTGTCCTGCCCCCCCCCCCCCGGCCGGTGCCTGCTGGAGATGTGGTCCGCTCGGGCACTGGGGCAGGGTCAGGGAGATGCTGCGCTCTCAGGGGCACGTGCTGCCTGTCCACCTGCCACGCGGTCCCAGCACTGGCCAGTGCTGTCCCCTGGGCGGCACCCTGGGGTGGGATGTCCTGAGAGGGGGTACATGGAGGTGCGTGGGCACCATGTCACCCACCAGGGGCTCCTGCCAGCCAGTTAGTGACAGGTGGGGGTGGCTCCGAGCCTCACTCCTCTCTCTAATCCAAGGAGGGTCTTCTGCTCCTTTGCTCCACTAGCAGGAGCTCACAGTTCTCTCGGCGCTCAGTGGCCAATGCTTCCAGCTGTCGTTTACTGGATGCTGCTGCCCTCAGAGCCCATCACCCTCTCCTTGCCACCTCCCGACAGTCTGGCCACTCAGCTCTTCTGTTCCAAGCCCTGCTGCTGCTCCCGCCTCAGCCCACCTGCAATCAGGACTCCCCGAGAAGTCTCAATTCCATTTAGGAATCATTCTGATGAAAGAATAAAGGTGTGCAAAAGACTGAAAACCCAAGTTGTAAAGATGTGTTAGGCGGAGTGGTGCACACCTGTAATCTGAGCTACTCGGGAGGCTGAGGCAGGAGGATCACAAGTTCAAGGCCAGTTTGGGCAACTTAGCAAGACCCTGTCTCAAAAATAAAATTTAAAAAAGTGAGGGGCTGGGGATGTAGCTCAGTGGTAGAGCCCCCAAGTAGTAAGCTTGTAGGCGGCCCTGTGTTCCTTCCCCAGCACTGCAGAAAGAAAAATGAAAGGAAAGACACACTGGCTATCCTACAAAGTGCTATATCCAGGTTAATTATTATGCCTTGGCTTCCAGGGAGGCACAACAACGCTTACGGGTCACCACAAATGGCACATCGTCGTTTCACGGTACACCCTTCACAAAGCCCGAGTGAAGCTGGAAACAGACGAACTTGCTGAACTTCACCAGCCCAGACACAAGATGTGCAGTGCAGACCTGTTGGGGCACATTCCTTGAGATACACCGGTGCCTGGACACTTGCCGTGGGTGCTATTATCCCTTCTCCCAGGTCGGCATCGGGTTATCTACAGGCTCCCCTGACATAACACGAACCCACACATCCAACTGTTAATTCCTTTCTCCCACTCATTCTCCTCCCCACGTACACACTCACTCCCCACCCACTCCATGCTGTTTCTCTCCGCCAGATCTTGCAACCAATCATTCAATGAAAGAATTAAAAAAATTTTAAGTAAGATAAAGTAAAAGAAAATCTAGAAACCAGCTAAATGTGTTCTGTATGTTATTTGTGGGAGCAGGGTTTAGGGTAGATGTGCTCCCCTTTTGCCTTCTGAGGCTGAGGCAGGTGGGTTGAAAGTTCAAAGCCAGTGTGGGGAACTCAGCAAGACCCTGTTTCAAAATAACATTAAGTAAAAAAGGGCTAGGGATGACTCGGTGGTGGAATACTCGCCTCACTCGTGCAGGGCGCCGGGTTCAAGCCCTGTGCAGAGAAGAATGTATTCTTCATGTCTAAAAATGATTTCCTTGTGGAAGAGCACAGTATGAACATTTCCCAAGGCAAAGAGGTCATCACGGGAGGCAGTGTTGAATGCTCGGTCAGGCACGAGGCAGGCGTCACATCACATTACCAAAATGCCTCTAACACCACTTCCTGTGGTGCTGGAGACCGAACTCGGGCCTCACACCTGTCAGCAGGGCCGCAGGAGCCATCTCCTCCCAGCAAGCACCAGCCTCCCTGAAGCATCCTATGAGATCAGCACAGGGAGGATGCTTCAGCCTGTATTTTTCCCTCACCACAAAATTAGAATGGGCTGATTATCGTTTCAGGATCCATTTAGACTGGACAGAAAAGTACACGGCCTCTCACAGTGAGCGTGTGCTGGGCCGCCTGCAGCCTGCAGCCTGCAGCCCTCCTCAGATACCACAGCCATCCATCTGCCTGGAGCTGCTCTGCTCCCCAGCGGAGCCGGAAGCTGCCCAGCAGCCGGGAATCTGGAAGCAGCTCCCATTGCTAACCTGGTCCTTCCGGCTCTGTCTTTGCTTCCCTCACTCCAGCAAGTGCCAAGTTAAGCATCTCGAAGTTGAACGGGTCCCTTCACCAACCTTCTCCCGGCTCTAACACCCATCCCAGGAGCACTTTGTGTTGCAGAGGGTCTTGGCACAGAGGAGCGGCTCGGCCTCCCGCACCCTTCTCTGGATGCCAGGTTTCTCGCCTGCCTTTGCACGTTTCTGTCACAAATGCACACGCAGCTCCTGTTTAAGCCAAAGGGATCCCGGCGTGCACGTACCATTGGGCACTTTGCTGTTTTTGTTTTTTTTTTTCGTACCAGGGATCGAACTCAGGACCTTGTGTTTGGGAGGCAGGCAGCGGAACCACTGAGCTAAATCTCCGGCCCACTCTGCTGTTTTTGGTTTTTTAACCTAATGAAAATCTGACACCTTCCATGCATACGTGGATTTCCTTTTTACACTTTCTAGTGACGGGGATGGCTGGTCTGAGCTGTGTGACAGGCTGGGTCTGGGCCCCCTCGTTACGGGCCCCTCCTTACGTGGCAAATGCCACTGGGGAGGGAGGGGATCACAGGTGATCACTGCGGATCTGACCCTGAGATGGGAGTGCATCTGGGATTATCCAGGCGGGCCCAACAGAACCAAAGGATCCTGGTAACAGGGAGGAGCAGAGTCAGGGTAGGAGATGTGACATGAAACAGTGGTGACAGTAATGTGGGCCACAGGCCCAGGAACGCAGGTGCTCTGGAGGCCGGGACGGTGGGAAGTGAGCGGCTCTTCCTGCGGACTCCAGAGACCCAGCTGGCACACGGGGACGTCCGGCCTCTAGGGTGGTGAGGAGTTGATGGACGGGGCTCCAAGAGGGCACGGCTGCACAGGAGCCAACACAGGCTGGCGCCAGAGCACCGCAGATGATGTGGGACCAGGTGGGTGGGGGTCACACAGAGGGGACAAGGACCCAGGGAGGAGCAGCAGGAGTGCGGGGAGCAGAGATGACCCCACGCACCACTTCCTGCACACGCTGGCCCAAGGGTGATAGTGGGGTGAGGGCCCAGCAGAGGGGACACTGGCTCAGGTGACAGGAAGTGTTTGCTGTCCTGGCTTAGGGCCCCTGATTCTGCTGTATTGGGTTTTTCAAGGCAAGACTCTGGGTAAATCCAGTCCAGCAGTGGAGCTGGCACAGGACTTGAGAGCATTTTCTACCTGAAGGTCCCCAGCAAACTGGGATGAGCTGACCACCTCCACCAGTGACAAGTAGGGGCTGCAGGGCCACCTGTGCAACCACAGTGGAAAAATGTACAGCAGCCAGGTGCAGTGGTACACGTGTCATCCCAGCGTGCTGGGAGGCTGAGGTGGGGAATATCCCGAGTTTCAGCCTGGCCTGGGCTACTCAGTGACTTAGCAACCCTGCCTCAAAATAAAGTCTGGTGACATAGCTCGGTGTCAAGGCCCTGTGATCCCCAGTACTGCAAAAAACAGAAACAGAAACACCAGACAAAGGTGCCTGCCTCTGCACATTCTGCTAGGGAATAAGCCACACCCTCTGGTGTCCAGCCATTGCCGTTGTCCAGGTTCTAGAAACCTGGCTGTGGCCTCCAGAAGGAACAGTTCTCAGAGTCCACACGGGAGAGCTCTGTCTGGGCTCTGTGAAGCAGGCCTGGCCGTGTCTGTGGGAAGTGGACCTGTCAACTGCAAGGCTGCTGCACGGGACACAGGCACCCTGCTGCTCCCGCCCCAGCTCTGGTCACCTGCTCCAGGGCCGCTGGCAGCAAAGGCAGACTAATTCCCAAGCTGAATTCTGGCTACCCTCCAGCCTGCTGCAAGATCCCAAGCCGACAGTGTGCTGTGCCCAGCCCAGCTGCTCTTCCTCAGGGGACACGACCCTGTTCCTCACACCAGGATAGGTGAGAGCGCAGGTGTGACCCCAGTTCACCTGTGTGGGGCTTCACAGGGTAAGAGGCAGCTCCTCGTCACCACCTGGCCTGGACTAAGGGTGCACTGCTACGCTATGAGGGAAGGAGCTGGGCCCGGGACAGAGGGGCTCTGAGACCCCACTCCCGCACCTGTCACCGCCTGCTCTGCTCCTCCTCCTCCCTCAGGCTATCCCGAGGACACTGGAGCAGGCCCAGCTCAAACTCCCAGCAGCCTCGCTCATCAGGGTCAAAGCCCAGGTCCTGTGTGCCATGAGGTCACCCCTTCCCCAGCTCCTCCGCCTTCCTCACTCTCCCAGTGCCTGGCAGTCACCTGTGCCCCCTTCCCTACGCTCCAGTAAGACCTCTTGTCCTGAGGGCCGCTCTTGTGGGGCGGGTGAGCCAAAGGAAGCCCCATCCCCCATCCCCCATCCCTGGAACAGCCCTGCCTAGGAAACCAGCGGGACAGGAGGGCTTTCCTATCGAAAGGGCATCCTCTTTCGGGTGACCAAGTCTGCCCGGGGTCCCCTGTGGGGAAGCTGCAGGCCACCATCCCTCAGGCAGGTCACTCATTCCAGAGAAGGCTTCACTGTTACTGGAGGGACCCTGGAGGCCGATGGCAGGGAAGGCTGGGGAACCATGGCCTCAGCAGCATCAGCAGGGCTCCTTCAGGAAACCCTTTAGCCTGGCCATGCTTCAGTTTCCTCATCTGTTGAGAGGTGAGCTCGGAGGTCCCACTTCCAGGCACCCACCTGGTCCCCACCTGGTCCCCACGGGGTCCCCACATCTGCAGGCCCCGCCCCACACCTCCCTACATCCGCCTGGCTTTGTCCCAGACGTTAGAAGCACAGCTGTGTGTGTGTGTGTGTGTGTGTGTGTGCGCGCGCGCGCGCAGGGGGGTGAAGCGGCCCGTTCAGTCTTCCCTGTTTCCCCTGCACTGCGCCCGGGCCTCGTTCAGGTCAATGAAGACTGAAAGAAATCCTGCGCCGAGGTGCAGGGAAGAGTTTCCGGGGCAACTCCCGCTCCTCTAAGAAGCGGCGGAGACTGGAGTCCGCACCCCCTCTTCTTGCTTTGGACAGGCGCGACGTCTGGGGCCGCGCCCCCGCGCTGCAACACGGGGGGCCTCGGCTCCGCGCGGAAGGCGGGGGGCCTGGGTCCCTGGGAGCCAAGGCTGGCGACCACCGGGCTCCTGCCGGCTGTGCCCAGCACTCTGGGTCTCGGTGACGCCGGCCGGGCGCGTCCGCAGCTCCGTGAGGGGGCAGCGGAGGCTCTGGGCCCACAGGGGGCGCGCTCCTCCCCGGAGGGAGCCAGCGCGGTCGAGGCTGAGGCGGGGACCCCGGGGCGGACGGACCGCGCCCCGGGCCCAGCAGAAGGAGGTCCGCGAAGTCCGCGCCCCGCCGCCCGCACTCACGCTCCACGTCATGCAGCTTAGCGCGCTCCTCCTCCAGCTTGCCCTTCAGGCCCTCAGCCTCGCTGCGCAGCGCCGCCAGCGTCTCGCTCTCGTGCAACCCGTCCGTGGCCATCTTCGGGTGGCGGGGATGCAGGGACAGGGCGTGAGAGGCGAGAAGGAGCGCGGACCCAACCCGCCCCAACCTGCGCCCCCGTGCAGCGCCTGCGCACACCGTGGGGGGAGTCGGGCAGGCCTCAGTCCTCCAGGGAAACTGAGGCTCAGGGACGCTGCGTGGCTCGGTGGGCCGAACCGGGACCTACCCTGGTCTTCCCGCCCCTAGGAACCCAGCGACACTGCCCCTCACCCCGGTGGATGCTCGGACCAGGCGGAAAGCACGACGGGGCCTGCGCCCCCAGAGCCGCGGAGACCCAGATGCGCAGACAGCGCCCGACCCTGCCCGCCGTGCGCATGCGCATCCCTCCCCTTGGGTCCTCAAGGGGTGTGGGGCGGAGCCAGGCGTGCAGCCCTCCCCACGTCCCCAAGGTCCGAGCGCCAGCTTGGGGGGAGGGAGGGGGGCGGGCCACCGTCAGGCTCTCCGCGGCGCCGAGGCCCAGCGCACAGAGGGGAAACTGAGGCCCAGAGAGCCGTGGCCCCGCCCAAGCCATTTGTGGGTGGGGAGGCCATGCGGCCCTGCGTTGTGGACGCGGATCCAGCCTGCGGGGAGAGGCGGGAGGTCGGGCGCAGTGTCCCTCCCTGTCCCTGCCGGCCGGGTGCTGGGCAAAGGCTGGGGTCCCTGCCCTCCGGGGACCTGAGGGCGTCTGCGGTGGGGCGGGGTCCGGTTCTGTGAGCAGAGCCCCGCCGACTCCTGCGGACCGGGACGACACCAGCGAGTGGGTTTGTTTATTCGGGATCCTGGCGTGGGGCTGGTAGGTGCCTGGCTAATGCCTACGTGTGAACGGAGTGTAAAACAGGAGCCCTGCACTGTGTAGCTAAAACAGTCCGTAAAGCAGATCAGTGTTTTTGTGCGTAGAGCCATTTAAGTAGGCATCTAAAATAAAAATTAAGCACAAAAGCAAAAACAGGACTCCTGTTGCCGCGTTTGAATGCCGAGGGCCACAGCTCGGGCTCTGTCCAGCTCGGACCCAGGAGCCAGGCTGGCTGGCTGTGCTGTGCGCCCTGGGCGGTTGCCCTCTCTGTGCGTCTGGGCCTCCTCGGCACGAGCAGCCCCTCTGCTCCCCCTAGAGCGCCCAGGGCCCTAGGTGGCACAGGGAGGGCACTCGGAGCTGCCCCTGAGGCGGGGACACCCTGGTGCCATCCGCGGGAAGGGTTCAGGGGACGCACGGGGTCACAGGCGCAGGTCCCTGGGTCACCTCGGCGAGGCCGCGCCCCTGCGCCTCCCTGGCCTGCGGTTCTGGGCCTGTGGGATGTGCACTTGGGGTGTGCGGCTCTGGGGACCCCGGGCAGTGGCCTCCACACTGGCGTGTGCCTTCCCCGGGGTCCTGGGAGAGTCGCGCCTGAGCTGGGCTGGGCAGCTTAAAGCCACGCAAGTTTGCAGAGCGCCTGCTCTGAGGCAGCTGGTAGTCTAGTCAGGGCCGGTCCTGTGCGCAGCAGTCGCGTTGCGGGGTCACCCTGCTCGGGATCCGGTCCACACGGGCTGTGTCTGCGCGACCCCAAACACCGGGCTGAAAGTCGCCGTCGGGCATCGCCTGTGCCCTCCCTCACCAGAGGGGCCCGGACACCGATCCGCAGTGCCTGTGGGGGTGGTGGCCCGCACCCCTGAAGTCCCTCCGGGGCGGGGCTCCGAACACAGGGGACCGGAGGTTGGGATTCTGGGTTGCTCCGGCCCACAGGGGCGGTGGGGATTAGCAATTGGCAGGCGGGGCGGGCCCAGGCTTCGAGGTACTGAAGGGGCCGCTTCCAGTCTGCAGAGCCAGGTTTATAACAAAATGTGCTGCTGCTCTGCGGAGCCTGAAGAGACGTCAGAACCACAACTATGCACCAAGTCCAGCTCCTTTACACACACACACACGCACATTTTTTTTAAAACCCTGCACAATAACCTGAGGATTTTCCTGTGGCCTGTAGGGCCGAATGCTTTACCACTTCCCAACAGGTGGGGGCGCTGTTGAGGGCTCTGTTTGGCCCAGCTTTGCAAACCCTCGGAACAGGATCCATTTTTAGGGCTGCAGCCATGCTCTGGACATTTTTCCGCAAGGTCTGAGGTCGCGCACGGCCACCTCTGGTGAGTGCACTCGATCTCTTGAACTTTTTTTTAGTACCGGGGATCGAACTCAGGTCCTTACGCTTGCACAGCAGGGGGTGAAACCACTGAGCTAAATCCCCGGCCTCGATCTCTTAAACTTTGAAAAGCCATGTCGGGTTCTGCGTTCCGCCTTTGGCCCTCCGGGGGCTTAGGGCCGAGAGGGGCTGCTGGAGCCTTAGCTTTGCTCTGGTTGCAGCCAGGAAGGTTCTGGGCTGTGCACGCAGCTGGGACCTTGCAGAGGCGCTCCCTGGCTTTATATGCCGGTCTCTTAGCTCAGCTGCTTGCTAAGCAGACAGCGGATAATGAGGTGGGCCCGGAAACCACGAGGGCTCCCTGGGCCCTGCCTTGTGGGGAGGCATGCGGTCACCGGCCTTGCGCCAGTGCGTCCAGGACGGACAGCGCATGTCTGTAAGAGGTGGCACTTACAATTTCCGCACATATGGAGCAGTAGTTGAGTTGTTGGGATTTCTTGAAAACTGGCCTCAGAGCTCTCTGCTTGAAGCATTTGTCACAGGAGCCAAACACGTTCACTAGAAAAGTCTGGTCACACATCTTCCCCGCCACGAACCTGGAAGGAAACAGAGGAGGGGTGAGCAAGGCCTAGGTTCAGCAGCCTCCCTGGTTCCTCCTTCCTACTGTGGGTGCTGAGACCTCTGTTGTGGGGGAAGGGGGCGAAGCTCACTCCTGACCCTCCATTCACCATCCCCAGGGGTCTAGTGCCCCCAGGCAGGTCCTTTGGGCAGCTGGTGGCCCCTCACCACTGCACCCCAGTCAGCCTGAGGTCCCCTGATGGAACTCACTGGGTAACGGATGCCAAAATGTAAAGCTGTTAAAAACGTTCCTCCCAGGACAAAAGGACAACATATATGTGAAGAAATGCTCAACACAGCTGGACAATCGAGAAATGAAAATTTAAAACACAGCTTTCGTCTTCCTCAGAAAATATGGCTATCATCACCAGGAAATCATATAAAACCAACTGCTAGTGAGGGGTGTGTGTGTGTGTGTGTGTGTGTGTGTGTGTGTGTG